TGGGGTCTTTATAGCCCTCTAAAGTGCCACATGGTCCCATATCTCAAAAACGCTGCAGTAAAATGGTTTCCTATGAGGTGTGCATATAGTATGGGGCATCCCGTATAAGAACTGATGATTAATTTATTCTACTTATTAGAAATGGGGTCTTTATAGCCCTCTAAAGCACCATATAGTCCCATATCTCAAAAATGCTGCAGTAAAATGGTTTTATATGAGGTGTGCATATAATATGGAATGTGCCTTATAGGAACTGACTATTGTTTTTTTCTACTTATTGGAAATGGGGTCTTTATAACCCTCTAAAGTGCCATATGGTCCCATATCTCAAAAATGCTGCAGTAAAATGGTTTGATATGAGGTGTGCATATAGTATGGGACGTCCCGTATAAGAACTGACCATTCATTCATTGTTCTTATTAGAAATGGGGTCTTTATAGCCCTCTAAAGCGCCATATGGTCTCATATCTCAAAAATGCTGCAGTAAAATAAAAAAAGTTTTTATATGAGGTGCATATAATATGGGACATCCCTTATAGGAGCTGACCATTGTTTTTTTCTACTTATTAGAAATGGGGTCTTTATAGGCCTCTAAATCGAATAATTTCCCATTTCTCTTTTTCTAGGAATCCTGCTATGATTTGAAAGGTCGACAAAAATTCAGTAACACACAACCGTCAAAACACCAATAAATAACACACATATTAAAGCAGAAGTACAAAAAAGAAATCGAGAAATGTCATCTTGTTGTATTATATCTCACATCTGGGCGTCTAAATGAAAAGCTCTCTGAAAGCGCGTTCTCTGTGTTCCTGCCATTACCGTAATCATGGTAATACGCGCGCATACCAGTTTAAAACGCGGCTGGCTTGACCGCAGTGAAAAACTGTGCACTTCCATAATGTAAAGTGTTTTTGTACTATTTTCACGCACTAATTTTGGACTTAATATAGCTACTAAAAATTATTATTTAATACTTCTTAAGATAATCTTAAAATAGGTGTAGGCTACTTAACTTTGCTATTTTGGGACATCATGAATATGAACTAGATGTGCTTTTAAAGGGGTCATATGATGCGATTTTTCCTTTCTCTTTGAAGTGTTACAAGCTCTTGGTGCATAAAGAAGATATGTTAAGTTGCAAAGACTAACGTCTCAAATCCAAAGAGATAAAAGTCTTAACTTTATATAAGTTAAGAGTCAACCACGCCTACCCAAAACGGCTCATTCTAACACGCTCCCACATGTCTATGTCAGGATGTGGGAAGATTTGCATAACGCCGCCCAAATGTTCACGCAAAGAAAGAAGGCGTAACTTTTATTCTGGCTGTAGTATTGTTGCTGCCGCCATGTCGTGAAGACGCTGTTTCGTTGTGAAAGCGAAACTACTTTGTTTGGTCTTCCAAAAGAGGACGATATCCGGAGTCCAGCCCGGGGTCGTCACATGTGGTTGCCGCAAGCCCGCCGGTCGCTCTTTCATCGAATCCGCTGTCCGCCGCTCACTCTAGCCTACTGGCTGCCGCTCACACTCCGTATGTGAAGTTTTTCATTCTGAAAGTGAAACTACTTAGTTTGGCCTTCCAAAAGAGGACACAACTAGAAATCAGTTGTATTTACAGCACTGTTCCAGAACAGTTCAACCCAAATATTTAGATGTGTCCAGTGCTTTTTATGGAGGTCTGTTTCCTAATCATGGTATAGTAGACTACAATGCCGGCTGTTCTGACTCACAGACTGTAAGTACGTTTTTCATATTTAAAGGATTTGCCACTGACGATTCAAATGCGAGTTTTGAGCAGTGTAGAGTAGCACTTGTTGTTTGTCATTTCTACGATCACAAATGCAGACATGGTTTTATGTTTACACAGCGCAGCTAAAAAGACAGTATAAATCATTATAATCCGTAATTATGTCCCCACAGGATGCAACAAATGCCTCATTTAATGGGTTTTAATGTTTTTGTCTCGGAGTCCAGCCCGGGGTCGTCACATGTGGTTGCCGCAAGCCCGCCGGTCGCTCTTTCATCGAATCCGCTGTCCGCCGCTCACTCTAGCCTACTGGCCGCCGCTCACGCTCCGTATGTGAAGTTTTTCATTCTGAAAGTGAAACTACTTTGTTTGGCCTTCCAAAAGAGGACACTATCTGCTTCGTCATGCCTGGAGCTGATCCGTGCTGGTTGCTGAGGAAATTTTTAATGCTTTTAACTGCTGTATTAAAACATTTTATTACCACTTGTATTACTGTATACTTGAACCCACTAGTGTTTGAAAGATGGGTTCTTTCAGTAGCCTACTAAAAGTGGTAACTAAATAAATGTTTTAATACAGAGAAAGTATGTTAAAAGCACATTTTAGTTAATATTCATGGTGTCCCAAAATATCACATTTGAGTACACTAAGATCAGGGTTGTCAAATTCAGTTCCTGGAGGGCCACAGCCCTGCACAGTTTAGATTCAACCGTAATTAAACAGCTGATCCAGCTAATAAAGTCATTTAGGCTTATTTGAAATCTACAAGGTGTGTTGGAGCAGGGTTGGAACTAAACTCTGCAGGGCTGTGGCCCTCCAGGAACTGAGTTTGACACCTGTACAAGCCCTATTCGGACATAGCTAGTTTTCTAAATTATGTTTGAGTTTCGATTTTTGTCACATCTGTGATTTTCATGTACCAATTTGGACGGGACTAACATCTCCATGTTTATTACAGAGGTGGGAGGGTCTGATTTGTACATCTGTACTTGTTTTGTCTGATTTATACTGATTATCATTAGTATAACCAGAGGTTTACTACAAATGCCATGGTTAAGCTATGGCTAGTATAGCAAAACCATGGTTAATTTGTGGTTACTTTAGTTTAACTAATTTATTTTTTATTTATTTGTAGTAAAACCATGTTTAATTTTCGTAAATGTATGAACATTATCTAATTGAGCACAGAAATTAAGGTGAGTAATCTTACCTGACGCTGATATTACAGTAGCCAGTCTTAACAATTTACGTAATCTGGCTTTTCTTCTTCTTCTTCTTTTTTTCTTTGCCGGGAGGTAAACATATCAAAAATGCGTGCAGTAGTAAGAGCTTTTTGGATAAAACACATAAGGAAACGTGTTGTGAAAAAAATATTGTCAGCAATCACAGACATTCGCATTTGGATGTGATTGGTTTTCTCAGAGGATCAGAGTTTACTGAAAAACAGTAGGCAATATCCTCTGTAATATGCCCTGGAATTATTACAGAGGTTGTGTGACAAAAACACAGATGTGGCTGATTCAGACGGGATTAAAATTGCAACAAAAACAAAAGATCTATCTTTCTATCTATGGTTCCGAATTCAGCAATAGACAAAGGTCAACACTTTTTGGCACAAACGGAACTCCATAATCTTTTTTGGAAACATCCTACTAATGATAGATCAAGGGGACGACTTAAAAAATAATATATACATCAACATATACTAATTTATCTTAACAAGTAGGCAGTTATTGCAGATATAGGCATCTGTATAGTACAAAGCAAGCACTATCATATTTTATTGTGTGTTATATGTCACATTGTTAAACTCATCTTTTTCGATTATTATCTAAATTCGACAGTGTTGCCATAGTAACATTTGTGTCGAGCGATTGCTCTTTGCTTGATTTAATAGTCTGTTGTTACCAAAGCTTGGCAGGTTACCATAGTAGTATTAAACCGCGCGTGCGCTTTAGCCGTATAGCGGTATGGCGGTGAAAGCTGTCAACATAAACTTGTGATTGTTGGATTGAAAAGGAGAAGTAAGAAGAAGATAACTTAAGTGATGTACCATGTGAAGGTAAAGCAAAGCTTATTTCGTTTGGAGCAGCTGTTGTGTAGCGATTGCCCCCCCCCCCGAAAATGTTACAGCTAAACAGCACGATTAGCCACTCATCGATAGCCAAATAAAACTGTTTATGTTACATACTTTAGTTAAATCTCTTTATTTCAATAGCAAACTGTCACTTCATTACATGAACAATTGGTATGTAAAGAATCAACTTGTAAGCAAGCAGTATTTAGTTAGTTATGTTAGGTAATAGAGTCATGAGCTTCATTCTCTACAGTTGTAACACATTTGCTGTCAATTTCCCCCGTCCTCTCATAAGAAAATAACAAAAGAAGATACTTGGAGGTCTGATGACTTAAAAGTGCACATTCAGGTAATCTGCAGTTTGTTTGTGTGTAAGAAAAGACAAGGTTTAGAAGCACAACCCATAAAATGTCATTGTTGAAGGAGAGCAAAAAAAGATCCAAACAAGAAGAGGAGCACAGGAAATACAGGGACGGAGAATCTCTGGATCGCTGACAAAGAGACCCTGATCAAGATGCAAGGAGAGAGAAAGAAAAACTGAGAGAGAGAGAGAGAAAGCACACAAGAGAGGAGTAAACACAGAGACCCAGGCAGGGATAGAAACCAGCAGGATATCAAGAAGGAAGACATCAGGGAGGATAGTTATAAAGAGAGAACGAGAGAGAGAGAACAGGCATAGAGATGGAGATGAAGAAGAAAAAAGACATAATCGAGGTGAGAAGGAAAACAGTGAAAGACGGAGGGATAGAGAAAAGGACAGATATAAAGACAGGGACATAGATGTGTACAATCAGGGGGACAGAGGTACAAACAGGGAAAAAGATAGAGATAGAAGGAGATCAGAGAGAGACGGAGCAAAAAAGTGAAACCGATAGAAGGAAAGATGGGAGAAGAGAAGGTGAAAAAGAAGAAAGGGAGAGAGACAATGAACGAGAGAGAGAGGAGAGAAAAACACAGAGCAAGAGAAAGTGAACAGAATCGACATGAATATGAGGAAAAACAGAGGGACGGAGAAAGGAGAGAGAGACGCAGTGATAAAGAACACTGGACACAAAGAAAAAGGTATGATTATTAGTGTTTATTCCTAGAGAACATTTATATAATCTCTTGTTTCAGAAGACAGAAGAGAAGAAGGGATAAAGAAAGCCATGTAAGCCATAAGATTGTTGCTATTTATTAGCAAGATATTAAACTGATAATATAATAATAATGTAATTCTGACTGTACTGATATTATGGAGGAATGTTTAAACATTGTGGCTAGTCGACTGACTTGAATGAGCTACATTGGAACTGATAACTGGAACAGTTTTTTGTTAAAGTTGTTGCTTTCGATAGGTGGCAAACACAAGTCACTCTCGAGAAGTGGAACAGCATCACCAGGAGTGGAAAGAGTCAAACGATTATTTCCACGGCATCAAAGACAGGGATAGGGAAAAGGCCAGGGAGAGGGAAGAGAGAGATAGACGGCGTGAAAAAAGGCACAAGGAGGCTTCAGACTCCAAGAGGAGTGACAGAGAGTGGAAACATAAGGATTCATCAGGCCATGACCTGAATGAAAGGATAAATAGAGACAAAGAGGTATAAACATGATCAAATAATGTATGAGATTCATGACATCCATTTACTTTTTTTAGGTTTGTGAGTTTATAAATCTAATGTTAGCTCTGCTTTTTTTATACCTCATTTAACTATTGCTAGTGTACTGCATATGCATCAAATTGATGTCCAAACAGACTGAAAACAAAACCTGACTTGATCAGAATTGCATAGTACTGGCAAATTTTAAGACCAAATCGAATCGTTCTCTATTCGTTTCTTCTCTGACCGAACAGAGCTATGAGCACAGATTCGTACAGCTCTGATTTAAAGATGGCAGAGCATGTAAGTAAATGTGCTAAAAAAGTAAATGCGTTTTGAAATGTAAAGCAAATGATCATGTAGAATACAAACTTGAACCAATACAAAGCCCTTACAAGTTCTGCAGGTATAGTATGCATGTTAAAAATAAACATGCAAAAAGCAAGAACAGCCTATCGACCTCAGTGACATCCTATACAAAAGCATTTACCTTTGGAGTCTCAGAACTCATTTCTCTCAGAAACTAATATTTAAAGTTGTTTCATTGCATGTGTTCATCTGTACTTTTTAAGTGTTTCTGCTTTCTAGCCCTACTGTAAATTTTGAATAAAAGAGTAAACACACATTGTGGCTAATATGATTGCCTGTCTTTGTGTTTCAAGGTGGAGAATGAAGAAACTGAAGAGGACAAACAATCAAGCAAAGATGATCATAATGATTATGAGGAGGATTTTGAGGTGGGAAGCAGTTTAGTGCTTCTATTACATACATTACTTAGTACAGAGAATATATAGAATATACTTATATAATTCTTATATCTTTGTATATTTATATGTGACCCTGGACCACAAAACCAGTCTTAAGTCGCTGGGGTATATTTGTAGCAATAGCCAAAAATACATTGTATGGGTCAAAATTATAGATTTTTCTTTTATGCCAAAAATCATTAGGATATTAAGTAAAGATCATGTTCCATAAAGATATTTTGTATTTCCTACTGTAAATATATTAAAACTTAATTTTTGATTAGTAATATGCATTGCTAAGAACTTCATTTGGACAGCTTTAAAGGTGATTTTCTCAATATTTGGATTTTTTTGCACCCTCGGATTCCAGATTTTCAATAGTTCAATAGATAGTTGTATCTCGGCCTAATATTGTCCTATCCTAACAAATCATACACCAATGTAAAGCTTATTTATTCAGCTTTCAGGTGATGTATAAATCTCAATTTCAAAAAATTGACCCTTATGACTGGGGCCGCTGTGATTTTGCCAAGTAAGACAAATCTTTTGTTGATCCTGGATCAACATAACTGTCCAAAAATATAGACTTAACCCAATCCCTACCCCTAAACCTAACCCTACCCATAATTTATTCCTAAAAACAGTGTGAAATGATAGCTGATTAACAAGGGTGTAGAAGCACCTAACCATGATTGTAAGCCTAAAACAGATATTTCCTGAAAAGTTATCCCTCAATTCTGATTGGTTGATAGGAATGTTGTTCCAGGATCAACAAGGATGTTGATCCAGGAACATGTTGTACTTGGTGAAATCACGGTCACCTTATGACTGGTTTTGTGGTCCAGGGTCACATATAGGGTTTATATTTCCCTAATATCTGATGTGAATTTTGAAGCTGAATATAACCGACAAACATCAAAATTGTCATTCCATATTATGCTGTTCTTTTGGTGATGCTTTTAGGATTATGAAGAAGACTTTGAGGATATTGGTGAAGAGGAGGATGATAATGAGGAGGAGAACGAGGAACATGACAAAAAAGTGAGAGAAGACAAGAGGGAGTTGAGTCCCAAGAGAAGAGAAGAGATTGAAGCCATTGATGAGGAAAATAAGAGAATCTACTCTGCAAGATCAAAGCCCACAACCATAGAGTCAGCTGTCACCCAGAGAGGTAGTTAAACAAAAGTTTGTTAATTTGCACATTCTACTGGTGAATATGAACAAAGACTATAGAATACCCAAGACATGTCACTCGTATAGTTTTGAATGGGGAAAAATGCAATGCTCAATATTGCCGCTCTATCGAACAAAGCCCTGCCTTCTGAGCAAAAGAGCCAATCCCTAATCGGTAAAGTCAGCACGTCACTGCAGCTGCCGTTCGAAGTCCCGGTTGCTTTAGAAACAGTCAGAGTTCTGAGAATGCGCTTAGGACTATGCATGTGCACTGGCTGGTCTAGCCTGAAAAATAAGCTTTTTTTTAAACGCTATTTGAGCAAAATAAACAACATTTATGAGAAAGTTGTTGTCAGATTTCATTGGTGATTTCAAATATGAAATTGAATCGTAAGCTTGGTGAACAATTTTGGAGAGTTTGAGGTTTCCCCATTCAAAGAGATAAGAGCTGCACTTGCATGCCCATGAGGCATTACGGGTTGCTTTTGTTTTGTTTTCACAGAAAAGCATTCTAACAGAAGTCGAACTCGTGGCAAAATTATTCATTTTGTATAAGCAAAGCAGCGAGAGGTCAGCCAGAAAGTGGCCAAGAAACAGAAGCAAGTTCTCCATCTTCATAATGATCTAATTAGAAGTTATTAGAAGTAAACATACTTTTTAAAATAAAAAAATGAATTGCATTTGTTGACTAATCAGTTAATAAAAAAATTATTTATTTGATTTGAAGGAAGCGCAGTGAAGAACTTCTGCGTCTGATTGATTTAGACTTCTCCATCACCTTCTCTCTGCTGGACCTCGCTCCTGTCATTGAGTATGACATGTACATCAAGAATTTTGGAACAGCCAATACAAAACAGGTTAGAAATCTAGGAAGTTGTAGGTACTTCCATGTTATAAAACGGCAGTGGTGATATTTTTAAGTATTTGGCCATTTTGGCATATTTCTACCAAAATTCACTTTTACACATCATCTCTGTCAACTAGATTTGTGTGTTTTCCTTATGTCATGATCAAAATGGCTTTTATCATGAGATTATTGTGTCTCCAGGCTTATGTGCAGTGCAATGAAGACAACGCTGATAGAGATATACAAACAGAAAAAGTAGATTTGACAGACAAATGGACACAACATCCACCAGAAGCAAATGCAGCATGTGGAGGTATTGTGTTCAGCACTGGCTACGTTTACATGCAACCAAATAATCCGTTTGTAATCGGATTGACGGCTCATTCGGACTGAAAAACCTTCATGTAAACACCTTTTGAAATTTCGATCGGATTGAAGGGGTTGGTTTATTCCTTTTCTAATACGATTGAGAGTGCATGTAAACAATCGATCAGATTGAACCCCGAATCTGAAAGGACTGCGCATGTGCAATGACGCAGAAATAGCATAATGGCATATGACGCGCGGAACGAGCGGTTCTTCCTTTTGAATAAAGTGTTGTATAAATGCGTGTCCTGTCATTATAAAACTCTCCTTTCACTCGGCAACTGTGAACTGGAGCAGGACAACCTCCCACCAGTCCTTGTTTTGGATTCTCATCCACAGGCAACCCGTTTTGGGCACGGGGAGGGGCATTTTACTGTGTGATAAATATGAGCACCACGGCACAGCGGTTTATATGTATATTTATCCATAAATTAATAAATATTAATTCTGCTGTTAAAAACAAATTAACCGTGTAGGAGAGTGGTTATTATGTGCAAACAGTGAGAAACTCTATATTTGTGCAGTATGCACATGTAAAAAAATTAATAAATTCCGATTTGAAGCTTGTGACATATAAACGCGCACATCAACCCGATCACTTTATTTAGCGGTCATGTAAACACTACATTCAGATTCATCAGTCGGAATGAATTAATTCCGATTGAACCAAAAATTGTGCATGTAAACGTAACCACTGACTCTGTCATTAGTAATGAATACCAAATGGAAATATAAAAATAACAAATACAGTGGATTGTGTTCTGTTTCATTCTCTGAACTGTAACCAGGATCTAAGGCATCTCAAGACACTACAGATAAATCCACTTCAAGAATAACTACTGATTCTCAACGTCTGACTACATTTATACGCTCTGCTGCACAGGTTAAGAATAGCTACCTGTTAATAGGACTTTTTAAAAAACATATTAAAATTAAAACATTACAATTAATCTCAACCAAAATGCAAAAACACTCAAAAAGGTCAGTGTTGTTCTGTCTCAGAAATAGATAAACAAATAAATGCATATTAAATCAAGTTGTCCATAGACCGTCTGATGAAGTACAATTTATTTAAGTATTTATTTGTATGTCAGGTAATGGCTGTTCTGATAGAGGAGAATATGGCAGAGAGTAATTCAATCAGAAGGCTTCACTCTCAAACAGACGCGCTGTCCTTTTGTGAAGGCTGCATTCAACTCAATACCAAACTCCCCTTTCTGCATGGTAATATTTTCTAAATTAGATTTACTGATAAATAGCAGCGATTGAGTGATGGATACATGAGTGTGATAAGAACTACCTAAAATGATAGAAATCATCTTTGGGAAAAATGTATTTGAAGTGTAATTTAAGTTTGGCTCATGTCCCATTTGTTTACATGGAGAGGGGCCAATTGAAAAGTTTTGAATTCACTTTTCAGGACGTGAGTGGCACAGGTGGAACAGACCCTATATGTACAATCATGTATATGTGCGTATCTACCTGCAGGTCGGCAGGTGAGTCTGCTGCAGTTCTCTCACGTCCAGAGACAGACTCTTCTGTCTGTTCATCCTCCTTCCTTCAAAAGCAGTGCTGTACGGCTTGACTGTGAGACAATCATCTGTGTTTGGAACATCTGGGAACCATCCAGACCCCAAAAAATTTGTCTTCGTGAATCTGAGGTATGGAGGAGAACATGCTTGCATCATTAAAATTTATTGTTGATGTTTCTGAAATTAACTGCCCTCCCAAAACAGCCAATAAAAATCTAAATTGTTTTTCTCCTATTTGTCTACCCCTCTCAGGTGAGGTGTTGCTGTTTCAGTCCTGGTAAAGTTACACTAGTGTTTCAAGTGATTAACATTCTGGTACTCACTTGAACTTGGTGGTTAGCAAGGAGGTGTGGACACTACGCTACCCAACCTTCTCAACAGGTCAGTCAGTGCTCACTGCTTCAGCTGCTGTGCCATCTAAATAAATAATAGAAAAAACACAAGCATTTGCAAAACTGTTTATCTAACTTCACTTTAGGTATTTAGGTATAGATATTTGGAGTCAGGTCACAGGTTAAAACTAAACTGACCTGTGATTTGCGTATGATTGCAGATGCTGTGCTTTCAGAGGGGTGTCCCATGGTGTCCATTGAACCTGTACTGGCGACTGCTGATACAAGTTCAAAGAGTACACTATCTGCAGACATAGATGGTAATGTGTTTGAAATAAATTGTTTCAATAAATAAAAACACTAATTCAAATGTTGGGATTAGTTAAAAAATAAAAATGTATTCTTGCTGAATAAAATCTTCATTAATTTGATCAAAACTAAGACATTTATAGTTTTATAAAAGATTAATGAATAAATATTTTTAAGTTTTATTCATTAAAGAAGCAGCACAAGCCGTTTTTAACATTGATAAGAAGAATTATTTTCATCAAGTAACAGATTAGCATATGAGACTGATTTCTGAAGGATCCTGTGACACTGAGTAATGAAATGTCAACACTGCCATCACAGGAATAAATTACATTTTAAAACAATGTCAAATAAATGCAACCCTGTTGCACATAAGAGATTTAAAATTTGTAATAACTACCCACCAATAGTTTGAACAGTAGTGTATATTTTGAAAACCACCAAAAGAAATTCCTTGTTCCCTTGTGTAAAATTCTAGAGTCTCTGGGACTGTCATTCCAATTAGGATCTCTGGATGAAAATGGAGTGTTAACTCTCTGGGTATGTCTGCATTTCACCAGCAACTTTATTTCACAGAAACCTTCTTTCATTTAGTACTGTGTGTTTTTGTAACAAGAGATTATTTAGATGAAGTTGTATATTTTGTCTCTGACAGGTTGTGGTTGAGCTGCCCAAAGGAAATTATTCTGGTTCTCAAACAGACCTAGGTAAGATTTTTCTTTTTTTCTGTAAAGCTGCTTTGAACAATCTGTAAAAGTAAAAACGCTGAATTGTGAATTGAGTTGAACTCATCCTTGCTGAAATGCACATCAATTAGACATGTCTCATTTTAATAATGCTGCATCTGCCTTGGTAGGTCTTAGGCCAGGTGGTAAAGTTAAACTACACCACAGCTCCTCTCTACAGACCACTGAGAAACCTTCTCAAGATATTATAATGGGATTTGGACCTCCTGTGAGCTTTCAGTTAAAGTTCCTCCTGTCTGACTCAAACCATTACTTCATTGGTACTAACATGGTGGGTGTTGCAGGAAATTGTTGAAAATTGTCTTTCATCTTGGTCTTAAAATGTTTCTTGAAGTGTTTCTTTATTTTCTTTTATTATTGAAGGGTTTGGTTAGACATGGTACTAGGCACAGCCTAAAAGTTCTTCCAAAGTTCTACAGATCACAGTTTGATAGCTGTAGTCCGGTGGATGTCACAGCACTTGACTTCAGTCCTTCCGAAAATCCCTTGTTCTTGGTAGGAGCAGCTTCTATTGCTTTTTACTGTAGGTGTAATTATGTATTTCTGTGTTCATAGATATCTGTTATTAGTGATGAAAGTGTTCTTTTTCTCCCAGTCTTTACAGGTTCTAGCTGAAATTTAGAATGGGAACATTATATTCACCCTTTTAATTCCTTTCTTTAGGTTGGCTGCAGTGATGGAACAGTCCGATTGCACTCTGTCCTGAGAGAAGATTCGTTGATGGAATGGTCTGGATGTTCCAGTGGCGCTTCCATTCTGTCAGTGCAGTGGTCTCAGACACGGCCAGCTGTGTTCTGTGTTCTGGATGCTGCCTCTGATCTTCACATCTGGGACCTGACTGTGAAGGATTATGTGCCAGCTGTCACTGAGAATATACACAAAGACCGGTAAAAAGCTAATACATCAAATATTAGATATTTTTTAATACGAGAGAAAAAAGTTCAGTTAGTGCAATACAGTAAGATAATATGTCAAATACTGTATGTAATTACTGTTGTAAGGCATGTACCTCAGGCACTTAACTGTTTTTACAATCCTCTCTTTCCGAACTATTTTTCACAGGGTGATAACCATGGCAGTGTTTGGTGAGCCAGCCAAACAGAACACATTTTCTGGCATTGCGCACGCCAAGCAGTCCGGCAAGGTGGAGATTCAGTATTTTAAGGAGCACCTATGACAAAGAAAAACTTCAGTCTTTTTTGCACAATGCTTTTTTGATATGAGATGGATTCTCATCCAAATCAAGCAAAGGTCTCTTTTTTAATACGAGAGAAAAAAGTTCAGTTAGTGCAATACAGTAAGATAATATGTCAAATACTGTATGTAATTACTGTGGTAAGGCATGTACCTCAGGCACTTAACTGTTTTTACAATCCTCTCTTTCCGAACTATTTTTCACAGGGTGATAACCATGGCAGTGTTTGGTGAGCCAGCCAAACAGAACACATTTTCTGGCATTGCGCACGCCAAGCAGTCCGGCAAGGTGGAGATTCAGTATTTTAAGGAGCACCTATGACAAAGAAAAACTTCAGTCTTTTTTGCACAATGCTTTTTTGATATGAGATGGATTCTCATCCAAATCAAGCAAAGGTCTATCTGAGCCCAGATTCAAATGAATTTCCAGTTAAATCCATAATATGCAAATGACAGTGGAAAACACAAAAGAGACATTAGAGAAAGTCATGCATAGTATGGGCAGACCTAGTGAATTATATTTCCTTGTTACAGGTACCCAATGCTACATTAAAGGGATAGTTCACCCAAAAATGAAAATTTGATGTTTATCTGCTTGCCCCCAGGGCATCCAAGATGTAGGTGACATTGTTTCTTCAGTAGAACTCAAACGAAGATTTTTAACTCAAACCGTTGCAGTCTGTCAGTCTTATAATGGAAGTGAATGGGAATCACTGCTTTGAGAGTAAAAAAAACATACACAAACAAAACCAAACTCGTGATGATACATTGATGTGTAAAGACACGAAACGATCGGTCTGTGCAAGAAACTGAACAGCTGGCACATTGACATTCCTAATTAATAAGATTGTAGATAGAGTGTCAATGGTTCATTTGAGAAATAGGTGGTGGTAATGCACTTATAAGTCTGTGATCCGCCGTAAAGCAAGAAGAAGAAAAAGACTCATCAGGTGCCGACTGTCGAGGACGCGCTCAGGACAGTTCAGACATTGCAGTGCATCAGAGGTAAAAAAAACGATATAAATACTGTTCAGTTTCTTGCACAGACCGATCGTTTCGTGTCTTTACACATCAATGTATCGTCACGAGCCGCAGGGATTAATTTGGTTTTGTTTGTGTATGTTTTTTTAACTCTCAAAGTCATGATGTTACTCAACTTTGATGTTTGCTAGAACCTGATGGTTTTGTTGCTGTACGCAGCATTTTGTAAGGTTCGATCAAACACTAAAGGGAGCACATGAATATGAGCTTTCTGTTCCTCAGGGATATAAAGACATTATTTCCATTTTGTATTATTTTACAATATGAATATTTACACTGAGTAGCATTTGAACTGGAGTATATTTTTTATTTAGGGTCCCTATCATTTCTTCACTATCAAGTCTACTGTCATACTGTAATTATTAATGGATATTTTTATTAAAAGACTATTACATTTAAACTGTTTTCTCTCGTTCTCACACCTGTATTGTTGGTAGAGGGGTGTTCTTCACTATTAGAAACTGCAAACTATACTGTACACGGAGGACCATCACTCTCACTAAGGATCTAGTTGTCATCTTTCGAACTTGGACACCATTTTCATCTAGATCGGATTCCAATCGGATATGCACAAAATCGGATTTGGGTTGACAGTCTGAAAGAGGCTTTAGTCTGTCTCTTGAGGTCAACTGCATTTTCACACATTCTCTTCTGTAAAATATTATTATTTGTCGTCGTTACCATGGCGATTAAACCAGCGCTATTTCGACTTCAATCATTATTATTTTTTACATAATTAAATAGTTAAAATAGAACTTTAATACTAAAATGAAACTGTCACAACATAAAACATGATATCAATAGAGATAGACTATTTCTAGGTACATGGCACGCGTAAGTTTAAACCTGAAACCCTATAAAATCTTTTTGCATGGCAACGTTTAATATTAATAAGAGAAAGGAAAAACTGCTTTGCATAAACTTGGACTGTAGATGTTGATGAGGACCAGTACGAGATGAATGGACAATAATGTCTGTCGTTTTCTCCATGGTAACTGTTGCCAACGGCTCTATTCAGACGGCTCTCTGTTAACGACCTTTGGCTCTTTCAGCGTCAATCCGAATAAACAGGTTTTTAATAACAAAGAGCCACAAGTTACAAATGAGATAACCGCCACGAACAAACAAAACGTAGCATGATGACCTTGGAGTAGTAGCTACATAAACTAGAGCTACATACAAGTCAAAGAAGAAAAAAATCATTTGATCCCGCAACAACAAATGAATCAGAGGAGGCTTCCCAATCCGTGAGGTGACATGGTGAAATGAAGACGGTTAAAGAAGAGATGGAGACCTCACAGGTTGAGTCTCTAAAAAGTTCATCACCTGAACGAACAAATGGTGAAAAAAACGGTCAAACCTGGACGGAGAACATCGCTGAAGTAAGGGAATGTCTAGTATGCTTTAGCTCAAATTACTTGACTCACATGAAAAATGTATTTTGTCACGCATATGCATTAATATAGTATAATTTATTATATTATGTGTATATCTAACATAATAATGCGCTAATACGTACTATAATGCGTTAACAGAGAGCCGGAAATCACCTGCCATTCATTTCTTTCTTTTCCTTCCCCCTCTTCCCACCTTTTTACTTGGACCTACTCCATCACCTTTTACTTTCACTCTGTTGAACATTCTGCATCTGTTCAGATGAATTATGGGAATGTTAGCCCCAGCATTCTCACCCATGGCCTTTGTCATGTCCTCCACCTCTCCTGTGAAGAGACTGTTCGCCACATGACCTGTGGTGAAGGTGCCGCAGGCTTCGCTAGTCTTCACAGTAGCAGTCATGTGCAGTTCTATTATCCCGATGGCCGTCTAAGAGATTCGTCTATTTGTCAATCCCTCACCATCCGTTATGCCGGCCTCACCTCCACACATCTGCCAGGCAGGCTGGTTGGCTGGGGACCTGGGGCCGTTCTCACCGTACTGGATGCAGAACTGAATCCTCTGGTTCATGCTGTGGAGCCCATGGATGTGAGGGTGTGCAAGGTGTGGCTTTAACTAAAACTTTTCACACCATAGTTGATGAAATTTTGAATTTTTTTTAGTTAAATGAAATGTTGACAGCGTATACAATATATGTGGTTCTCAACCAGGGGGATGGGCCCCTATGGAAGCATATGGGTAGCAAAATTCATTTTGAAATGCAATATGGAAAATGGCAATGTATTTCTGTATTTAAATTTACATTTTCCCATACATATGTGCAACATTTAGTGCAAAATGAAAATGAAAATTCAATTATATAATTTACATTTGCCATTTTCTACACTAGTTTTAATATGTAAATTAAAAACACATTTTAACGCTTTATAAGTTGCAAAATTAGAGTGAAATTGTATTACCCAAAATTGTATTAGCAAAAACTGTAGCAAAATTATCATTTAAATGCCATTTTCCTAAATGCATTTAGACTTACGGGTAGGACACTTGAGATTGCGTTTTCATCGTGATACCGTGTGATAATTGTAGCAAAATGCAGTGTGAATTTTTTCAAATGCATTCTGAGCCAAATGTGTAGCAAAATGGTGATTTAAATGTCTTTTATTTTTCTTAAATGCATTGACACTTAAGACATTTCAATTGCATTTTCATTAAATACCCCGTGATAATGTAGTTTAAGGCAATGTGGATTTGAAAATGCATTCCGAGCCGATCACGCCCCCAACCTGTCAATCATTATATCAAGGCGGGTCTCGACAACAAGACGCACAATAGGTCAATATTCCCCATTAATCAAATGCTTTTCACCTGCCTCAACATATGCTTCCATAGGGGCCCACTAGGGAGCAATATGACTAAAATGAAAATGCATCTGCTTCCAGATAAATTATGACAAAATTTTCTTTTCTGGCTAGACTATGCATTTAAAATGCTTTAGTTTCAATTAAGAGAAAAACTTTAAAATAAAATCAATTAAGATATTTAATTTGATTAAAATTTTATTCAATTCATTCCCAAACTTCTTTAATTCTACAATTTGATGATTGAAATTATAATGATTTTAGTTATTTATTTCTAACTTCTTGTAATTTTGAACACTTCTAATTTCTGTCATTTAAAAAAGGGGGTGTTTGTATTGTTGTGGGATTATTGTTGTTGACATGATTTTGGGGGGTCCTTGGAGTCAAAAAGGTTGAGAACCACTGGTGAAGACATCAAGTTTGATGCATCATTGGATCACTGGAACTTACTGAAAGTGAATTAAAGAGACATGTTTTCATTTGTCTGTGTCAACAGATTTTGGAGCACTCTAATGAGCTTGTCACAGCTGGAAAGGGAAACGTATGTGTGTGGTGCCTCACACACTTGGTGTGTCGCAAACGGGTGGTGGAGGGTTTGGGGAGACAAGTTGTTTTCACACTTCTAGCACTGATGACTAGTAGGACTGAGCAGGGCCTCAGAGCACTGGCTGCATATAGACGAGCTGTGGTTGTGGTGGACCTTACAGAGGGATGCATTATTGAGCACAAGAAGAACCTCCATTTAAGGTTTGTTTTTAATGTTTTGTATTAATTCAGCCATTTGCAGCTATTAAGGCCTGTTTACAAGGATTGAGTTTATGCTAAGCTATGGAATAAATATCAAACCCAACATTTTTTTCTCATCTCTCCTCTCTCTTTCTTGTTGAAAACATTAATAATCCAACCAGTAACGATTATTATTAAATTTTAGCAATTAATGAAAGTGCAGACTGAATCCAAATACATATGCATTTATTCTTGGACCATTCTATTTTCTGATTATAGAGTCCTGTGGTGATAATGTATTTTTGTAGGCCAACCTGAAAGTTAGCATCACCCTGGTTCCCTTAACAAAAACCCAATAGGATTTTTCTACTGGCTTTTGAATTATTGCAGAAAATAAGCCCTGTGACCAGCAAATGTTTATGACTCTTACACATTTTGTTCATTATGATAATCTTCACAAATGAACAACTTCACAACTTTTATGAATTTTGAAGCCTAAATACAATTACCAGAAGTGAAATGTAAACTGTAGGCTTTAAATGCACTACGCCATGGTCGCATGATTTCAACCTCACCACCGTTAAGCTTTCAAGTTTCAGCAATTCAATATCTTGTGCTTGCATCAAACACAGACCTTATTTTAGGCATTTAACCAAAAAACAAAACAGATTACTCATATAATTTACTTAAATATGTCATCCCTGCTGCAATATTTCCTGAAAAATTATTGCTTGCTTTATTGTCAAGGTATCTGGTTCATTTCATTGGCTTGCCAAGGGAGTAACATACGTGTACTCAGCTAGCTGGGGGGGGGGGGAAATTGTGATTAAATGGGTTAATTGAAATGGATGTTTATGTAAAAATCTTTACTTTTGTTCTATTAAATCAATCTCTTTTTTTTTAGGGAAATCACAGGGATGGTCTACTGTCCACTTAGGGATATTGTAGTTACCGCATCAGATATGACAATCCGAGTGTGGGGACCAGACTGGGAACTTCAAATGGCCTTTGTGGGACATACTGGTCAGAAAATTAACTTCACTGTTAATAAAGTTTCAAAGTATGAATGATGAGTGTCAGTATTTGCAACTGCATTGTTGAAATTATATTAAGTATCAACAATGTAAACCAGCAGCACTTAAGACCTTTGTCAGTTCACAACAGTATTTCAGTGACAATAGAGTCTACTACCATCACGAGTGTGTGTTTTTGTGTCCTTTCTCCAGCTCTTGTCACTTCTCTAGTTCTGTGTCCTGTCTCTGGCCTGTTGTTGTCATCTTCTCTTGATGGTACTTTGAGATGCTGGAGACCAGAAGTTGGAGATCAGGTCCAGGCTATATCCATTCCTAATGGGTGCCCACCTCCTCTAGTCATGGGAGGCCCAGATAGTGCTGGCACCTTCTTCTCATACTCCACCAACAGTGTGGACTTCTGGACCTTCAAATGCCTCTACAATCTACACTGCAGACTGGATGGGGTCCTGAGAGGTCCTGTCCATCAAATCTTGACCCCACCAACCCCCCCTTCCTTCCGTGCCTGTGTAGTTTGTATCCATGGAAACAGCTATGTCACAGTTGTTGCGGCACAAACGGGTGAAGTGCTTACTAGATTCCAAGCCAATGGAAGAGTAAGGTGTGCTGATTACTATGTACCTAAAGAGATCTTACTGGTCCTCACTGAGGATGGAGTGGTAACTATTGCTAGTACATTGACCAGTCCAGTAACAATACTGGATGAGTGGCATGGGATAGAGCATTGGGATTGGTCAGGTGGGCAGATGCAAGTAAATATTGGCATAGTTTGCTGCATGGTCTTATATAATGATGTTAAAGATATACAAATTGGACAGGAAGAATCGAGATCCTTACAGATGCAGAGATCACACAAGCCAAAGAAGATAAAACATCTACATGATGCAAAAAACAGGTTCGTATTTGTGGTCATAAGAGGTCTTTCAAAGTTCTTTTTCTCAACATTTATTATTTCTTAATTTTTTCTTTTAAGTAAAGTATGACACATCCTAAACTTGTGTGTCCCTCACAGGTTTCTGGTTATACTGGGTCATTGTGGTGGTTGTGTGTCTGTGCTTAATATGCATTCAGGCAAAATCCAGTTCAGAACTTCTGCTCACAACAACCAAAACATCAGCAGCATAAAGGCATACCCCAACAGTGGCTACCTGCTGACTGCAGGTGCACACACACTTCACACACACTCTACTACATCATCACACTGCATTCAAACTGACTTTCTGCTGATGATAATCTTGATGGCTTTATATTGCAGGTGAAGATAAAGCTTTGCTGGTTTGGCGTGTGTTCCCATGTGCTCAGCAGTGTTTGAGTCTCCATTTCAGCGTGTTGTGTGATCTGCCTCCGGTTTTGATGGCACTGATGGGAACCCAACTCAGCCTCGCCTTACAAGATCCTGAGAATGATACTTATAGCCTGGTGCAATATAGCTTAGAGAGCCAAAGCAGATCTGACCAGCAGCCCAATGAAAAGCATCACAACAAAATCACAGGTTAGAGACAGTAAACTCTACTTTAGTAGATATCTAATATTACAAAAGAGCTTATAATGTACTTTCACATAAACAAAAGCAAGCAAACACACTCAATATGCCAGTTTCCCAAAAAGTGTATACAGATTTTAATTTGTGCTGATTTTAATAAAAAATAAATAAATTAACCAAAATTTATCGGATAAAAAAATCCTGAATAAAAATTCTTATAAATTTTCATAAAAATCTTAAAACTGCAGTCCGTAACTTTTTATGGTTAAAAATGAGCCGAAATCAATATTTGAGCAAGTACATAGCCAGCCAGTGTTCAAAACTATCGCCTTACTTTAGCCCGATTCACAAAGGTTAGCTTATAATAATGTTTTCTAATTTGAGTGGTACGGGTAGGTTTTCGCGGGAAATTCGAGCATGGCACTGCGTCATTACGTCACTTCTGTAAACATAAAGAAGTTGTCCCGGCTACTAGGCTATCGCATGTGAGGATCCTGCAGGTGGCGGATCGTTTATAGCCTTTTCTCACAACAGCCAGAATAATTAAATGTATCATTTTGATGGCGGATTGTAATCCAGAAAGGATTATGTGTTCATGAAACACATGTGAATGAAATTAAATTATATTCCAGTTATAAATGTGCTTCTGTTTACAGACAGCCTGGGATTATAAAGATTTGTATTTTAAAGAAAACCAGTTCGAAGGGAGCATAATTAGCTTTTTGGGTTAAAATAATTTCTTAAAAGGGTAAAAAGAACTAAAAAGAACATTATTTTGAGTATTTGGTGTAATGAAATATGTTTATGCGGTTTAAGGTAAAAAAAAAAACACATTATTTTCCACATACTGTACATTATTGTTTCTCCTCTATGCCCCGCCTTTCTGAAACGCGTCGATTTTTACAAAGCTCATCGGTCTGAAAAAGCGAGGTGTGCTCTGATTGGCCAGCTATCCAGTGCATTGTGATTGGCCGAATACCTCAAGCATGTGACGGAAATGTTATGCCCCTACCATATTGTGATGATGCCCTGTCAGGCCGGAGCGATCATTCAAAAACTTGAAAACCCATTATAAACGAGGCATTCGTTGCATCCAGTGGGGACATAATTATGGATTATAATGACTTATACTGTCTTTTTATGAGTTGCGTTGCATAGCGCCGTGTAAACATAAAACCGTGTCTGCATTTGTGATCGGAGAAATGACAAACAACAAGCGCTACTCTACACTGCCCAAAAAACTCGCTTTAAATATATAAAATATAAAAACTCTTTAAATATAAAAAATTTACTTACAGTCTTTGAGTCAGAACAGCCGGCATTGTAGTCTACTCTCCCAGGATCAGGAAACAGTCCTCCATAAAATGTGCTGCACACATCTGAATATTTGGGTTGAAGTATTCTGGAACAGTGTTGTAAATACAACTTAACCACTGATTTCTAGTCGTGTTCATTTTTGGAAGGCCAAACAAAGTAGTCTCACTTTCACAACGAAACACAGCGTCACACACGGCGGCCTTGAATGAGCAGAGGCCGGGGGATAAAGTGAGGAACGGCCGGAGGGCTAGAGTGAGCAGAGGCGGCAGATTCGACGAAGGAGTGTCCGGAGGGCTTGCGGCAACCACATGTGACGACCCCGGGCTGGACTCCGCTTCGTCCACGGTGATAGCCGATCCGGCGATCCACAGCACAAAGTTGTAGTATTTCCTCAGCAACCAGCACGGATCAGCTCCAGGCGTGACGAAGGATTTTTGGAAGGCCAAAGTAGTTTTGCATTCACAACATGGCGGCAACAATACTACAGCGAGAATAAAAGTTACGCCTTCTTTTTTGCGTGAACATTTGGGCGGCGTTATGCAAATCTTCCCACATCGAGATGTAGACATGTGGGGGCGTGTTAGAACGAGACGTTTTAGGTAGGCGTGGTTGACTCTTAACTTTTATAAAGAATATCTCTTTGGATTTGAGACTTTAGTCTTTGCAACTTTACAGATCTTCTTTATGCACCAAGAGCTTGTAACACTCCAAAGAGAAAGGAAAAATTGAAATCGCATCATATGACCCCTTTAATATGAAATTCGAAGAGTATGACAATTAGATTAGACTGTGCAGAAATTGAAATCTACACGCTAATACACACTATACTCATAGTCACCAATGCTGATGTTGTTAACATTAATATGAATAAATCATTTGAGAATAAAGTATAACAATAATAATAATCTGAATGGTTTGATGTGATATGAGCTAACCGATCTTTAGATATAATCACCATTGGTTGCGAGATTTATGGTAATGCTTTTTTCCTCAGTTGGTCAGAACAAACGTGGCAACATGTTAGTTACTTGTTCAGATGGCAATATACGGTGAAAATTCTTATTTGGGTCATATTCCAAGACGTAGGCTAGAATCTGTGATTGCGAAGTACAGTAAATATCCACTGGTGCGGTGACTGACTGGCACACATACTCTTCAGAACATTAGATTCATCCGTGCTGGAGCCATGCCGACTCACAACCATGAAAGCTAAATAATTCCACACAGCTGCAATTCCAAGTTTTCAAACAGAGATGGCGACAAAGAGGCAAAACTTACGGACTGCAGCTTTAATTGTCATAAATTGTTTTTTTTATATATATATTGGGTTAAAATATTGACAGGTTTCATGAGATAAAAGTATATCACACCCTGACCCTCCTGAGATTGAGACAGTCTGTTTATGTTTCTCCAGGCCTCTGTGGTTGTCATCAACTGAGCATGTTTGCTTCAAGCAGTCAGGATGGGACTGTACGGATCTGGGATATGGAAAACCACCTTCTTAGGTTAGGACCTAAGTGCTACTTTTTGTTTGTAGTTGTGTATATTCTACAAAACTAAAACTTTGATTATCATTGCATACCAGTTTTTGACTCCAAATTTTGTGTTGTTTGTTTTAGAATTCTTGAGCTGAATGCAGAGCCGGAGTGTTTGGCATACTGTGAGAGTGGAGACCTGCTATTGGGCATCACAGGAGACCTCTATAGAATCCCCCGAACACAACTACTGCCTCTAGAATACAGGACACAAGTACAGCTTAAAATGTTATCAGATGACATTCGGCTTATTTTAAAAGCACTTTTAATCAAACTATTTGAAGAGTTGTCAGACTCTTGATGTCTTTACCAACACTGATGTTAAAACAGTTCAGAGTAATGGCTAAATAAAAGTACTGTACTGTAGGTTTACTCCACTAAAGTTTACTCTAGAACAAAGGAGGTTCACACAATATATAGTATAGTCTGTATAGTCTGTTCACACAAAATTAATCATTCATTTTGAATGTATTCACTTTACTCACCCACATAGAAATGGTATCCAGACTCTGAATTACCCAAATCCTGGATCCCAATCATGAGCCATGAATGCAGGTAAATTTCTGCTCAAATAACATAAATTCATACACATCCATATCCTTAACCTTTGCTTTTAACTCTAGGACAGAGAGTTGCCATATTACTAAAAAGGATGGTCCTGAAAGGCAGGATAGGATAAAAGATCCAGTAAGTATCAAATATATGTAAGAGTATGTGCTCTTACATATAGTAAGAGTGTGTAAGAGAGTCCTTCATATGTTTGTCTTAAAGGACTTTGGGGCAATTATGGCATTACATAAAGATCTGGAATCCTTGCAAAAAGGAGAGGTTGAGTGCAAAAGGAGAAAACCAGCCAACATACAATCCAAACGAGAGGCTTTCAATAATTACCTGGGTCTAATTTACAGGCAACCCCTTGATATAAGGGTATGTTTATCAACAGTCTCCACTTTTACTGTCTTTTCAGACAATATTTTCCAAATAAATGAGTTTGTGTAAATTATTGCCAATATCAAGATTTCACATCATTCTTCTAGATTCCAGAAGATATGTTTGATGTGTATGCAATACTTTTTCCACCTAAACTTCCTGAGCTTCCTCCTCTGAGCCCTCCCTCCTTCACCGAAAGCTTATCCACGAGACTACATTCTCCTAAAACACAGGTGAGAGAGTGTGGATTAAATACATATGAGTTGTTTTATTACAAAATGATCATTTTACATACACAATATATCCATTACTAGTCTGCTGTATATGTATTACCCAATAGAGACTTTCTTTGCTTAAAAATATATAGTATTTTTCTTTGTATAGTGTGAATCGCACAATAAGGTGACCAGACGTGTCACTTCCCGGAGACATGTTCCGCCCAGGATTTCTAAATTGCCTAAAATATCTAGGTTTTTGCTGTTTGCACTGCACAGATAGATCGTTATATGACATCAAAGTACTACCTTGTCACTCAATATCGGTTTTTTTTTCCTTGGAAAAAATAAATATATGATATGCATAGTCCTTAAAGGCATAGTTCACCCAAAAATAAAAATTCTGTCAATTATTACTCAACCACATGTCGTTCAAAACCCGTAAGACCTTCTTTCATCTTCGGAACACAAATTAAGATATTTTTGATGAAATCTGAGAACTTTCTTTTTGGTTTGGATCGACAAGAGGGTGAGTAATTAATGACAGAATTTTAATTTTTTTACGTGAACTATCCCTTTAAGTTCCTTAAAAATATCTTTATCAGGTTTTGAACATCATAAAATAATGGCTTTGTGTGAATGCACAGTGTGTACGCAGAGGAGAGAAATAACTGTATAAATAATGGAATGTTTTTTTCCTGCTTGTCATAAGCAGAGCGAACTAGATGAAGTGCAACGCTTGTATAATGAAGAGGAGGAGGAGAAGAAGAAGAAGAGGGAAGAGGCTCACATGCATCTCACACCCATCGTAAAGACTCCAACAAAACAGAAGAGCCCTCTTCCACCTTCACCAGTGGCAGAGACACTCATATACCCTGTTCGGAAGTTTTTTGTGTTTGTTCATTCTAGTCACATGTATTTGAGTAATATGACATAAATCACGTAGGGATTGACTAAGTTGCGTAAAGGTGTGGTTACATAAGCAGAATTTTGCAGGCTATAAATCAATTAATTCAACTTTATTTCCAGACTCAAGGTCCATTAGCAAGAAACACACAGTACAAACCAGTACAATACACATTTAAAAAGACATTTAGGGGACTGATATCACGCTTCAGTAAGCCTAGAATTTGACAACAACATAATAATATTATTATGTGAATCGTCCAACTAACAAATTTATACATCAAATTTCTCATTAAATCAGGGAATGATTGTACTCTTGCCTTACAGAATAAATCACTTGCATTTTAAGAATGGAATGCTATCACATAACCTCTTCATCTTGTACTCTCTCTTATGTTTACAGCCACAAAAGCCCCTTCCACCAATAAAGAGTCCTTCACCCCCTCTGACTCCACCCTCCAAGCCTGCCCCACCTTTACTCCCCTCTGTCCCTCCCTCGCCCTCTTCTGCCCTACCCTCTCCCACCTCACATCTGCCAGAGTTTCTCCTGCAGTTTGTGGATGAACAGTGGTTTCAAAAGATGTTTCCTGATCTGAGTGTAAGTTGAATACAACACAATGAGCCTATCAAAAGGACTCTTCCGTTCAGACGTACTCTTTATAGAACAGTGAAAAAAATATACACTTCTCAATCTCAAATCTCCTTCTAATTTATGCATCATTCTCATTTATCCTTGCATGTGTTTGCAGTGTATTTCCAGTTCTTTAAGCCCCAAGGAATTCTGCAAGCATCTGTTGAACTTCATGATGACTTGCAGCATGGCTCAGAAGAATAGCATCCTGAATGCATTACGTATGCTAATACAGCAGGAGGTGTTAGACAAAGAATCTCTCAGCACAGGACTGCTGGTTTGCCTGGAAAACTACATTTACAAAAACATGGTAAATGAAATTGTGATATTAGAATAAATCCATAAGGCATAGCTGAAAATACATTTTGGAAGCAACTTCTTTAAAGTTTGGATTTCATGTATGAATACAGAGCATATAAGATGTATGAATACTCTGTCAACACTACAGATGAGTTTATTCAATATAAAAACAGGTATGAATATGTGTTTTGCAGTCAAGGGAGGAACAGCATTTTGTTGGTGAGCTGCTGAATGTGCTGGTGTATCTGAGTCCTGACGGTTTTAACACCATTGTGGAGCTACTTGCCATGTTGGCAAATAAAGAAGCTGATCTTAAGTAAGGAATATTGCATGTTTAACACAATACAAAATACAATGTAAATGTTTATCAGTTGCCTACTTTAGTAGCAACTGCAGAACATCCCCAGTTATTGAAAAGTTGCTTTCATGTTTGTTTTTTGAGTTTTAAAGGGGTCATCGGATACCCATTTTCCACAAGTTGATATGATTCTTGAGGGTCTTAATGAAAAGCCTATAACATACTTCGGTTAAAATTTCTCAATGGTAGTGTAAAAAAAAAACTTTTTACCCTGTCAAAATCAGCTCTGTTTTCAGCACGCCATTTTAGTCCATGTTGCTTTAAATGCTAATGAGCTCTGCTCACCCCACCCTTCTCTTCCTTGGGGTGACGAGCAGAGTGTAAACTTCAGCTGCGAAACTTGCTAACTAGCACATTGTTAGGAAAGGTGATTTTCAAAGATTCATAAAAAACCCTTATACTCACCACTTCTGTAGGTGAAGCTGGATCACGAATGATTCGCTGAACGTAGACGCATTTAGGCAGATCGGGCATCAGCACATTCCATTCAAAAACGATAGTAACGTTAATCCTCTGCATCTTCAGCGGCTCAGATGTCGGGAGTAAATGACGACTGCTATGTTCATTATTACATCCAACAACAAAACACCTCAATCGCTTAGGAGACATTCTTGTCTACCCCTGCACCGGAGTCGACACAATGGAAGACAGCTAACAGCTCACTCAGGGCCGGTCTAAGGTAAAACACCAGTGTCAATCAAGTATCGTGGGAGCGGCCTACGCAGAACTACATCATTCAGACAGGAATCTCAGAACGAGATGGTCCTCACTGCAGAACACAAGATCCAGGGGGCGTGGTTGGAGCCAGATCCAACTCCTCCCACCTTACACATACCTAAACCTATCCGTCTCCACCCCCTGATCCCTAAACCTACCCATCTCCACCCCTAAACCTACCAATCTCCACCCCCTGGATCTGGTGTTCTGCAGTGAGGGGCTACTGCTCAGAACAGCCTGATTTGAGAAAGGGAATTTTAAAATAGGGATTTAAAAAAAAACACTGGGTGGATTTTTATCATTATAGGCTGGATGTGTACCACACTTCCAACACACATTTATGTTCAAACAACATGTAAAGTGAATTTTGCATCCGATGACCCTTTTAACAAACTGTCCACCTGTTTTAAAAAACAAAAACAAAGTGACAACCAATTACCATATATATGCAGGAATTAACCATTCTATTATTATATCTCTGGCAGGGCTTTAGTACTGTGTGTGCTGCAAAGGTTGGGTGTGGAGGAAGCTGAACTGTGGTTATGTCCAGAATTAGAGTCCTGGAACTCCCTGACGAAGCAAAAACCTAACCAGCACCACAGTCTTCGAGACATGGCCAGCCACTGGCTGCTTACCTGGACCAGAAAGTACAAGGTATGGAGCAGATATCAGATTGGTAGAGATATTTTTGAGGAGAACAAGTATTTTATTTGAATTGTATTTGTATTGTGCTTCACAGGTGCACAGTGGGTCTGTGTTCCTACGCAGTAAAGGAATACAGAGTGTGTTCGCACCTGTGGAGGTGCTCAAATATTTCTGCTCTGTGCAAAAAGGCAAACAGACTCGACCACCACCACCTCCACCAGAGGGCAGGAAAGATGCTGTCATCGTGCCTTCAGACTTACCTAGGTGTGTCATACAAATACAGGGACTCCCACTATCATTTGGTTTTATCGGTTGTATATTTTTTAGTGAGCGTATTTAAAATGTATTGCAAATTTATCTCAAGAACCTTACATTTAAATCCAAAGTTTTTTTTCCTCTAGTCTGTTCAGAAATAAGATGAACAAATGTTTAAAGAAAACCAGCAAAATGTGTCCTACTCAACCTCAAAAAGATCCTCATATAAAATACTGAATGCATCTGTGTTTAAATAGTTTGCATAACCAAGGAATGCTCTTTAAAATAAGTGTTTAAAATGATCAGAAATGTATCTGTTTTTGCTTAGACTGAAGCCAATTCAGCGCCTGGGAGAGACGTACAGCATGTCTAGGATACGGGAGCCTCAAGGTTAGAATATATTTCAGTCAGACTTTCAGCATTAATTTGTTGAACACAGCTATCAATCTGTTATGCCTGTGGCACTAAAAGATGTTAAGGAGTTCGTTTCTAATGTTCAGTTCAAGAGGAAATCTAATTTATGCAGAAAAGCAGCCTCAAAGGAATATGGAAATTATTCTTTCACTCTGCAGTTTTGATGTCTGTGCTATACTGTAATTTACTATACTGTACTGTATCCAAGGTTTTGTTTTATCCAGTCATCTTCATTATAAACCAACAGGACATCTGCTGCCACCATTGCCATATCGACCTGTGTTGATGGATTTCCCACGATTCCTCTCTCTACCAATGGCTCATGTCACACTTTCTCCATTCCCCTTTTCCCTGGATTTTCAAAACTTCAAACGTCCCTCACCACAAAGATACTTCTTCCTGGAACGCTCCTACGTACAATATTACATATAGTTATTTCCAAAAGCATTGCATTAAATCTGTGATAGACTGTCTCTATGATGCATCAAATGACACAAATCTATGATCAAACTAACTTTATCATCTTGAAGTCTTTTAGTACATACTTCATGATCTTCATGAGCGTTGGGGAAGTTGTGTTGTGCGGAGCAGCAACGAAACACAGGCTGACCCCATGCAGAGCAAGCCTTGGAAAGCAAGGCTTACAAATGCTGTGAAAACAGTTCTGTGCAGCCCAGTAACCTGTATAGGTATTGGTAATGGCATTGGTATTTTGGCCTTAGGATGGATGAAGGGGTCAAATGATGGCATGATATACTGTTTGAACAACTCTAACCTAATCCTCTCCCTCTACCTGACAGACAGATAGATAAATTAATTAAATGCGATTATTTATTCAATTTTTTTTGTTAATTATTTTATGGAGGATGTGATGCATCGAGTGTCATTTTGTAATCAAAATATTACCCTCTGAACTGTAATCAAATCAAATTGTGAGGGCAGTGAAAATTCACACCTCCATTGCACAGAAGAATAGTTAATACAGAGAGAGAAAAGAAAAGTATTAAGAATATTCAAAAAAAGTTTTGGGATTGAATCATGAGATTCGATATGCAGTATGTTAATACTTAAGAAATAAGAAAATTACAGTAAATGTACCAAGACAATAATACTGGCTTCTTCATTCAATATAGCCTTCTGATCATGTTTTACACTGTGCAACCACTGACAGTGACAAAATAATACAAATTTGTACAAAATAAAAATTCATTATTAAGTATTAAAATATTTTCCAGGACAAATAATTATGTCGAAAAACTGCAATGCAAAATTACTTTTTTTCTGGTTGCATGGGAACCCTGTTAAATTCTGTGTCTGTGAACATTAATTAAACCCCATAGTCATCGAAGGATAGTTCAACTAGAAATGGAAATTCTGTCTGAATGTTTTTTATGAAGTCATAAAATCATATAGATTATATGGAATGACTTGAGGGTGAGTTTTTCATTTTCCAGTAAATTTTCCCTTTAGGTCTTGATTTCCTTCATGAGACATTGAACACTAGCAGATAAGATTGAAAAGCGTTTTACACCATAGAACATGAACATTTAACTATTCACACCAAAATAAAACAAAAAAAATAGGCTGCTATATTTTTTGGTAGCATAGAAAAGCCAACACAAGTTTTGTTTTAAAAACAATTAAGAGGTGTCTTTGTTCCTTCTGTTGGTGCTAGCCATAAACACTGCCCTATTACAGTACGATTTAAGGCAATAAAACCCATACATTATGCATAACACAACAAACAAATACAAATTCAAAATCATTTCATGTGAGAAGCTGCATACAATATAATGCTAAGGTTTCCACAAGCAAGACTTTTTATATGACTCTGTGTAAGGTTTGCTATTACTGAAAAAGCTTGGCAACCACAAGTAATTTCCCATGAGTGGTTAAAACATAATCTGAAGATACTAGTTTAAGCATAGTTTTGATTGTCACACATTATAAGAGAGTGAGCTTTGGGACATTCACCCCCTAATCATCCACAGTCAAGTCTGGGCTATAGTTTAGAAGGTCGGAGGTCACAAGAAGGTCCCGGGATTGTCCTCTCAATTTCAGAACCTCATCTAGCAACCTCAGCATCATGTCCCTGCCCTCAGACTCCTCTAGCAGAGGCCAATCCAGCAGCTGAGCACTGGAGGGGAGAGCCGGCAGCCCAGGCTCATATTCTTCCAGTGGGTTGGGATAGAGCAGCAGACGAAGAGAAGGGATTCCTGCCGCTGTACGGGCCAGGGAAAGCAGTCCCGTTATAGAGAGCGGGTTTAAGGCCAATCTTAAGCTACGTAAAGCCTGACAGCAAGACAGGGAGGGAAGAAGAGCACCCAGGAGAGTGTCTGAGAGGCCACAACCACAAAGTGAAAGCTGGCGCAGAGAGCTTTCGGCTTGAGCTAAGAGACGGCGCAGAGAGGGCAGGGACGATTCATCAAGCCAGTTCTCACTCAGGTCAAGTTCTCTCAGGAATGGAGCATGCTGGCTGCAGGAGAGGTAGGCCAGGTCAGTGGAGGTCAGGCACAGGTATGGCAGCTCTAGCACCTCCAGAGGCTGGGAAAGAGAGCTGCAAACAGGAGAGAGAAAATGTAAACATGCCAGGTCCACAGAAATGTTGCTTTCATATGGTTTTGAAAAACTCTTACATTTTCAAGCAGGCTGTCAAATGAATGACTCTAAAATATCAAACGTATACCAAAAATATATAAAATAGTGTAATATATTTATATTTATATATCTATATTTTGCCCCCAGGATTTCTCTCTATGATATTAGTTTTATCACTTCTTTTTCTACATGCTGGTCAAATCTTATGAATTTTGTTGGTTGGAACACATGACTTGTTAAAACAAATGTTTGTTAAAACATTTTTGTTATTATTAGAAATAATAATAAAAGATCATGCTAAACTACATAGGTTTTTTCCCAAAAAAATATCTACTGAGGCTTTTTTCATTGTAATATAATAACAAATGTATCACCCTGACATTTTTTGACAGTTTGAAATACAACCCCAATTCCAGAGAAGTTGGGACGTTTTGTAAAATGCAATAAAATCAAGAATCTGTGATTTGTTCATTCTCTTTAACTTTTATTTAATTGACAAAAGTACAAAGAAAAGATTTCCAAAGTTTTCACTGACCAACGTAAATGTATTTTGTAAATATGAACAAATGTTGTTTTTGATGGCTGCAACGTTCCAAAAAAGTTGCGACAGAGGCAAAATAAAAGTGAAAAGGTTATAGAATATCCACGTTAAACTGTTTTGAAACAGTTCACAGTAAGCAGGTGAATTGGTAATAGGTCAAGGTATCATGTTTGGGTATAAAAGGAGCATCTCAGTCTTTGCAAGCAAAGCTGGATCATGGCTCATCACTTTGTGCCAAATTTCACGAGAAGTGTCAAACAAAACAAAAATCACATTTCGCAATGCAAAGTTGCAAAGAATTTAGGTCTATCACCAAGTACCATTCATAATATTGTGAAAAGATTCAGGGAATCCAGAGAAATCACAGTGCATATAGGGCAAGGCAGGAAACCTCAGTTGAATGTGCTTGACCTTTGAGCCCTCAGATGGCATTGCAAATAGAAACCGTCATGCTGCAGTGTTAAATATAGCCACATGGGCTCAGGAGTACTTCAGAAAACCACTGTCATTTACCACAGTCTGGTGCTGCATCAAGAAATACAACTTGAATATCTGTTACTCTAGGAGAAAGCTATACATCAATTCTATGCAGCGATGCTGCCGGGTTCTCTGGGCCAGAGCTCATCAGGTAGTCAAAAAGACAGTGAAAATGTGTGCTGTACTCAGATGAGTCCACAATTCAACTTGTTTCAGGGAAAAATGGATTTTGAGTTCTCAGTCCCAAAGACCAAAGGGACCATCCAGACTTTAATTACTGACAGAAGCGAAAGCAAACATCTGTCACGGTATGGGGGTGCAGCAGAGCAAACAGCATAGGTGACTGGAATATGTGCAAAGGTACCATTGACATGGAGGCATATACTGGGATTGTACAGAGATATATACTGCCATCAAGATGATGTCTTTCATGGGAAGTCCATGGTTGTTATATCAACACAATGCTAGCTCTCATTCTGCATGTGCTACAACAGCATGGTTTCGTAGACAGAGTGAAAGTGCTAGACTGGCCTGCAGATCTGTCTCCTACTGAAAATGTATGGCTCATCATGAAAAGGAGAATCAGACAACAACAGGAGGATGGCCAGACATGGAGCTTCTGAAGTCTTGTATCAAGCCAGATTGGACACAAATTTTGCTTGCAGAACTTTAACAATTACAGTATCCTCAATTCCTGATTGTTGTTAATGTGACCGTGTTAAACATGCCTCTGCCCCCAACTTTTTTGGAATGCGTTGCAGCCATCAAAATTTGTTCATATTTACAAAATACATTTACATTGGTCAGTGAAAACTTTGAAAATATTTTCATTGCACTTTTGTCAAGTACATAAAAGTTAAAGAGAATGAACAAATCACAGATTCTTGATTTTATTGCATTTTACAAAATGTCCCAACTTCTCTGGAATTGGGGTTGTAATTGTAATTACAATTTTATATACATTTAATTAATAAAAAAAATTATTTGCCTTTTGGCTTGCTTAATGCTTAGTTGGGACACTTAATATTCAGTAATATCATTGCAGCAAATCGAAGTAAATCACATCAAGCTGATTTACTGCTGAATCGAATTTGTTTATAATTGATTAATTTTACAACATCGACATGAACTGGATTTAAGCAACATTAAACTGACTCAAGCTGGACAACAAAACTACTGCCTTCAGTTAAGCTGCTTATCACTGAATTGAACTTCATAATAAATAATTGATAAACTTTACACAGTTATTAAACTGAAGTGATTAAACACTGAACTGTCTGGAGCTGAATATGACACCAGTCTTTTTAGAGCTGCTTTACAGCAGAATTTGGATTTGTCGTTATTTTGATGAAGTTTGCATCTCTGATTCTGTTTCCTCCCTGTTTAATATTCTGAAAATGTTTTGAAACAATTTCTGTTGTATAAAGCTTTAAATAAAAAGGTGACTTGAAATCAGGAATTTAAAATATTAAAATCCTTACAGATTAGGTTTATTCATGATTGCATGTATTAATTGCATTTTATGAATAAATGAATAGATCTGGCCCAAAAAAAGTTCTTACTGAAATAATGAAGTGTATGTGTTGTAGGAGTGTATGAGTGGACTTGATAAACACAGCTGTTTAATCCGCGTGTATGAATGTACCTGAGCAGCAAGCGCAGGTGTCCTGGCAGTCGGAGTGCAGTCAGGCATAATCTCTTTAGTCTCTTTAGTGAACTCAGTCCTTTAGACATGTCCTGAAGTGCCCCCTGCTGGCCAGGCTGTGCGCGCTGTAAATCCAAGTTACAGTAATGCAGTCTCAGAGAGTGCAGCTGAGGAAAGGGAGCTAAAAGTGGAAGCAGCATAGCCAGGCCTGACACCCCAAGGCTGGAGTAGCGGATGTCCACACCGAGGAGATCCTGCTGAGGCAAGAGACCCAACAAGGAAGCTATGGAGGGCGCTGAGAGTTCCTCCACACGGAGGTAGCGGCAGTGGAGCCGCAGTGGGCCCGGTTGACTAAGGGCATCACGGACACGCTCCCAGGAACGGGAATTGACAAAAAGGTCAGCCCTGACATGGACCATAACTACCTCATCCCAGTCTTGGTCGCATAAACGACTGTTATTACTGCTGGTGTTTGATTTCCCCTCAGATAAAGTCTTTCTTCTCTGGATCTCCATCCTCCTCCTGACACCCTTTACTGACTCATCTCCTGGAAACATCCGTTCATTAGTTCTGCACTCCATCTTCTCTACTTCTTCCACTCTGTGTCCTCCCTGACTCCCTTCACCACTATTCCCGCACCCTACCTTGCCCCGGTCTCGCTTGATGGTGCCCCGGTCACGTTCTGCTTCCAGTCCTCTTTTTCTCTCTCTTTCTCCATCTCTCCTGTGAGCCCTGGAGGCAGCAGATCGAGCTTGTAGCACCATTGAGCAAAGGGCAACGCTGAGGGACCATCCACCCATCGAGTCCTCAACTCTCCCATCCTCACACTGAAGTCCACTGAGATCCAGCATCTGCAGGCAACACCTGGTAACAGAGGGACATAAGAGAGCTTGTAAATAATGCTTAAATAGATATGAAACACTCAATATAAACCAACACAAAAAGACAGAGTGATACAGAGAAAACAAAATGACTATGAAACACTGTATACACACAAATTTTAATTTGTGCAGAATCTTTTATTCTTCATAACATTCAATGAAATAAACGCTGCCTGCAAGTGCTTAGAAGTTTCTGTTACCTCTCTACAGAAATCTTGATCCATTCTAGGGATATGCCGGTATCAAATTTTCATGTTGCGATTAATTGCTAATGCTTTTATCACGGTATACAGTATTATCACGATATTGAAATTTAGTTGCAAAAAAGTGTTGTCATAATACAGTATAACAGGTTTAATAACTTTAATTCTAACAAAAATAACAACATTTAAATACAATAAAGCAATACACACAAAAAATTCATAAAGTTAAAAATTTTACACAGATTAAAGTACAAAAGAATTATAAAGGCCAACACAAAAAGACAGAGTGATACAGAGAAAACAAAATGACTATGAAACACTGTATACACACACATTTTAATTTGTGCAGAATCTTTTATTCTTCATAACATTCAATGAAATAAACGCTGCCTGCAAGTGCTTAGAAGTTTCTGTTACCTCTACAGAAATCTTGATCCATTCTAGGGATATGCCGGTATCAAATTTTCATGTTGCGATTAATTGCTAATGCTTTTATCACGGTATACAGTATTATCACGGTATTGAAATTTAGTTGCAAAAAAGTGTTGTCATAATACAGTATAACAGGTTTAATAACTTTAATTCTAACAAAAATAACAACATTTAAATACAATAAAGCAATACACACAAAAAATTCATAAAGTTAAAAATTTTACACAGATTAAAGTACAAAAGAATTATAAAGGCCGATAGGTATCACTTTACAATAAGATCTCATTAGTTAACCTTAGTTAATGCATTAACATTCACAATGAGCAATAGCTACTGTACATTTGCTACAAGGATTTTACAAGATTTTAATCTTTGTTAAATAAATACAACTCTTAGTTCATGTTAGCTCATTAAATAACATGGTTGCAACTTTTGATTTGAACAATTACAAATAACAATAACAAACGTGTTATTAAATATTGAAATTACCTAAGATTAACGAATGTTTAGAAGAATTATTAATTGGCAGTTTATGTTAACTAATGTTAACTAATGAAGCCCTTATGTAAAGTGTGACTGAACAATAAAGAATCAAAACACTTTCAAACAATAGGGCATGTTGTAGTCCAGAGTAAAATGTAAAAAGGTTTGAAAATAAATAGCCTATTAAGTCTAAATATTTAATTATTTGGCGCTGTAATGAACATCATAGCGAGTACAAAAATCTGAATGATTATTTCATTTAAACACGTTTCAGAAACAGAAAGTAGCGCAGCTGCCTTGTTTACGGGGTTTGCGGGGTAACGGCTGTATTTCTGCTGTCAGAGAGTGAATGTGCTTTCATCCAGAGCGTCTCTCACGCGCTCGCCTCTCATCCCTGCTTGTTTACATCCGAGTGAGCATGCATCTGTCACGCAGCATAGAGCAGTGTTGTGCATTTTAACCAGTTGATGGGAAAAGTATTCTTAAAATGCATTCAAAATTCGGAATAATTTGTAATAAATAATTATTATCTGTATTTATCAGTATCTGTATAAGTACCCACGATAACAATATTGTGCATATTCATTATTGTGATACCGAATACCGGCACATGTCTAGTCCATTCCTTGCTTGAAAAGGCTTCCAGATCACTGATAATCTTTGGATTTCAAGTTGCTACTGCTTTCTTCAAATTCCCCTAAATATTTTCAATGATATTTTAAAGAGATAGTTCACCCAAAAATGAAACTTCTTCAGAACACAAATTAAGATATTTTTGATGGAATCTGAGAGCTGTCTGACCCTGCATAGACAGCAATACAACTGAAATGTTCCCAAGTTCAGAGACGTAGCAAAGAGATCGGTAAAATAATCCATGTGGCATCAGGGGTTCAACCTAATTTTACGAAGCTACAAGAATACTTTTTATAAGAAAAGAAAAAAACGACTTTATTCAACAATTCGTCTCCTCCCTGTAGCGCCATTTTGGAGAGTATCAGCTGGACGTAAACAACGTATGCTGTTCTGTGTCAGCTGCGTCACGCCGGATCTGTTTCCTACGTTGCTGTGATTTGATCTGAACGAAAACAGCGTATCCGTGTGACGCAGCTGACACAGAACAGCATACGCTGTTTATGGCGCAATAGGGTGACGCGGAGGAGACAAATTGTTGAATAAAGTGGGTTTTTTTTCTTTTGTGCACAAAAAGTATTCTCGTAGCTTCATATAATTGCAGATGGACCACTGATGTCACATGGATTATTTTACAGATCTCCTTGCTACATTTCTGGATTTGGGAACATTTCAGTTGCGTTGCTGTCTATGCAGGGTCAGACAGCTCTCAGATTCCATCAGAAATATCTTAATTTGTGTTCCGAAGATGAACAAAGGTCTTTCGGGTTTGAAACGACATGAGGGTGAGTAATTAATGACAGAATTTTCATTTTTGGGTGAACTAACCCTTTAATCTGAAACTGAACTCAAGAACATTCTATGACTGATCTCTGAACCAAGCGTAAGTAGATTTGGATGTATATTTTGGGACTGCTGTCCTCTAGGAAAGTCTATTGATCTTCAAGCTTCAGTCTTTGCACCGAAGGCAGTACAATCTTTGCCAAAATGTCCTGATACTTCAAGGAATTCATGATGTCCTTCATAAAGTCAAGATTTCCACTTCCTGCAAAAGCAGAGCACCCCCAGAACATGAAGGTGGTGTTCCTCTGCTCATAAGCTTTGCCTTTTTGGAACCAGACATACTGCTGATCCATGGGTCCAAAAAGTTATAGTTTGGTCACATCACTCCATAAAACATTCTTCCAGACCTCCACAGGTCTATACAAATGAATTTTACCATATTCAAGTCTGCCTTTTAGGTTTTTCCTGTTCAAGAGGGGTAATTCGGCATGATATCCCAACATGAAGGCCATGTTTGTCTAGTGTTCTTCTTATACTCTGCATTGAAATGTTTTTTTACTCCTTTCATCAGGCCATCTTGCAAGTCTTTGGCAGTAAACTGTTTTTTTTCTTCTTTTTTTTCTCAGTTGCTCTAATGCAGGGGTGGGCAAACTTGGCCCTTCCAGGCCACTTTCCTTCAGAGGTTAGCTCCAACCCTAATCAAACACACCTGAACCAGGTAATCATTGTCTTCAAGACTACTAGAAGGCTACAGACAGGTGAGTCATATCAGGGTTGGACCAAATCTCTGCAGGAAAGTGGCCTGGAAGGGCCAAGTGTGCCCATTACTGTTCTAATGAAACATTTTATTCATCTTGATGACATTGTGCTTTTTCTTCAATGCTGAGGATCTCAGCTGTCTTTAGAAACTTTTAATGTTTTGAAAATCTTCTTGTAGCCATAGACTTTCTAACAGCAGGGGCGGACTTACCCATTAGGCAAAGGTAGGTGACCGCCTTGGGCCCCCAAAAGCCAAGGGCCCCCTAAAATGCTTTTCATATAGGAGATGCGCATTAATCACTGACACACGAACGGTTGCTGTTTACGGTGTGTATATTACCACGACAACCGTCCGAATTAAACGTGCTTTTTGTGTATCCTGCTTGAAGGAGATGAAAATATTATGCATCTGAAGCTGTAATTAAATATTGAGAAACCGTGTGTATTAAATGTTTATAATTGTTTTAAATGTTGCTTACTCATTTATGAGAAGGAACCAAGTAGAGGACACATACGCAGTTACTTTTTTGGTTGATATAATCCTTAGGTGTCTTTTCCTTATTTTTTCTGTTATATTTAGATTTGTAGTTCAAATAACTCAAATGTATTTTAAAGTTTAGAATTAGACTTCCTTTGCACACAGGCTTATGCTGGTAACTCACCAGTGGACTTTCCTCTTCAATATAGGCTATATTTTTTCACACTTTTCTCATTCTATATTTCTGACATTCCAAAAGCGTCTCCTACTGGCAGAGAATAAATGTTCATTTTCAATAATCTAGTCTGTAGTTTTTGTTCAATGTGAAAATCCACCTACATAACCCCGTTTTAAATTAATATAATAATTTACACTTCTGACTCACCCCTGGTTTAAATACTCAACTGTGAGGTTTATCATTTTTCATCGTTTATTCATTTTTATCATTAGTTTTTGTGAAAACCTGTATCTCAGTAATCAATTGCTATTTTGTGGTCTACAACATGAAAAAAAGCCATTATAACATGTACATGAAAAATGTAGAAACATTGGACACAACTATGGGGCACCATTGTGCAGCAACAAGCATCACAACAATATAAAGGCCTCAATGTTGATCTAGGATCTAGCACATGGGGACAAAATTTTGGCAGAGATGTCCTTGTGTTATCCGGTGGGTGGCGCGCTAATGTTGATTGACAGGCTCGAAGTAATGTTACACGCATAAAATGCTGTATAATAATTGCCTTAGTATTTATCACCTCCAAATGTTGATTTAGGTGTTACAAGTTGAGGAGCAATTCTTGGGAGGAAAGAAGAGCATATGTCTATTCTCAGAATAAACAAAACAAACACAACAGAACCATATAAAGGCTATTCATGTGAGCATTTAAACTAAAGGATTTAATGTATAGCCTACTTTGTTAATTTGATCCACTACTCCACATAGAAAAAAACAGACATGCCAACTAGTTACTGACCTGATACAGACTCATAGCTGAAGAGCATTGATATCGTCTTGGCGGAGCGAGGTTCACGTAAGGTAACGTGAAAATAAGCGGGGCAGTCTCAAATCTGCCCCAATGGCTCTCAATTAGAGCGCGCTACAAAACCCGCCCGATTACTACTCAAAACTAGCCTGAAAATAGCCCAATTGCTTTAGAGGGGGTCCCCCAGTAAAAATCGCGTTCGGGGGGTAAAATACAAATTTTTTGGTGGGGTTCTCCTGGTACAATTCACATTCCAGGGTCTAAATATCACATTATTGGGGTCGCTTCAACCTGCGGACATGAAAAACAACCGGCGGCAATCGTGGATTTGGCAACACTGGCCCGCAAACTACGTTTCATATAACTCCTCCCCGAACTTCCCACTTCCCCGTATCGTGCTCTCTCATTGGCTGTAGGTCATCGCCGATGTGTTTTTCAGTCAGAACTCATTTCACACAGCAGGATTGTGAATCGCCGACAGCTCCAGATATTTAGCATGCCAAATTTTTCACGGACGATTCTCTCAGATCGCGTCTTTGATAATTCACACTGCGTGATTGTCACTCGCGTGAACGAGCACCTATTTGCCTCTGATTTCAGGCATTTGTCGGCGATTTCGCAAAACCTGTCGGCAAGTGAAAAATCGGGCTAAAATCGTGCAGTGTGAACTCGACATTATGCTGCGTTCCAGGCAGGTTTTTGAGCCCATAGAGGACCTACAATAATGTACAGTATTTGAAAAATAATGTGTTTTTTTGAACATTAAAGCATGCCAACATATTCTGTTACACCAAATAATGAACTTTAAAATAGCATCATATGACCCCTTTAAGGCAATAAGGCAAGAAGTAGGACCTGTGTAAATATCGGATCAGCTTTCCAGCGCTGGAGAGAACTCAAGGAGCGGAAGGCCTGCGATCGAACGCCGAGGTTGCTTCATTTCTTCTCGATAGGCGAGTAACACCGTGTCTGCGCCGCAACAGCTAAAGTTTGTCTAGTACACTGGAAGCGACAAAGTGACCGTTAAAAATCATTTGAAATTTGTGTCAATACGTCATAAATAGAACGCAGTAGCAGTTTTCTGTCGGGGATTTGTCGTGTCGTGCCACGTCACGTCCAGTGTAGACCATAGATATGTGTATATACTGTATATCTATGGTGTAGACAGCATCACTGATTATAATGAGTTCCATAGTATTTTGTCACGCTGAGCCACTCACGCCCGGTGTAGACATGGTGTAACATTGGTTTTGCTTTGTTTCACAGAACTAATCGTTGCCTGGGTTGCGTAGGTATATGTGGAGCGGAGCTATCAAAATAGGGGCGATATCCTTTTGGGGTAGGGGCGTGTTTATTTTGGTGATTTCAAATGTCAACATTGGCTACCAGAAATCGCTTACCCCACCTGGTCTACACTGGATGCAGCGCGGCACGACACGGCAAATCCCTGACAGAAAACTGCTGCTGCGTTCTATTTCTGACGTATTGACACAAATTTCAAATGATTTTCAACGGTCGCTTTGTGTGCCAGTGTACTAGACAGACTTTAGCGGTTGCGGCACAGACACGGTGTTACTCACCTATCGAGAAGAAACAAAGCAACCTCGGCATCCGATCGCAGGCCTTCCACTCCTTGAGTTCTCTCCAGTTTTTTTATCCACCATCTCTATCTTTCTGTCGCTCGGCTCGCTAATGTCTGTCCTGTGCACTGAAAGCTCTCTCCTCCACATCATGGGTAGACACGCCCCTTACTGCTGATTGGCTACAAGTTTGTTTTGCTAGTCGGCCCGAATCAATTTTCTAAAGCGTTTTTGAAAAATCGCTTACCCCACCTTTAACTTGTTTACTGCCAGTATGGGGAAAGGAGCAGGGCATCAATTACATTTCTGCCTATATTTATCCATGCTGCTCCGCTCTCTTTAAAGGTCGGACTCGGAGACATGTCACATGCTATGACGATGTATAACATACTGAGGTAGTCTTTTTTTATGGCACACTTTGTCATTAAAATAAAAAGCGTCGTGTAGACTCATCCGTACCTCTTGTCCGTCAGTCCCCTGATAACAGCCAGCAGCAGAGCCTGAACGCAGAGGCGGTTCGGAGGGCACTCGCCCGCTTTTCTGCTGCCTCCAACGGTCAGTTTTCTCTCGGGCCACCGCTGGACGAGTACACCGACGGCCAGAGGACGGCAGTGGGTGAAGGCGGCTTCCAGCAACGCTCGGTAGAGCTCCCGCGGCACACAACTCAACCAATACTGCGAAGAGCTGTGGTCGCTCACCACCTCCCGAGCGCACATCTTCAGCAAAGACAGCACCATCTGTGCACAAAAGAGGACGGCATCAGAGAGTATTGCTACAAATCAGCATGTTGAATAATTAATATGAGAGTAAAGAATCGTCAAACCTTTCTTTCCCCAGAATGCCCCGAAAGCAGCTACAAAATGATCTCCCTCATCACACTGTAATCCTGCATACTAACTACATGTTGCATTCAATTAGGCTCGTTTAACAGCCATCTGAATGTCGCGAGCGTCTTAAATGTCTACAACTCTAAATATAGGATTTAATATGCTCAACCTTTAGCGGGTTGTAGATAATTAATGCATGCTTTATGGCGTGAGAACAATACGCTGAACATGAGCAACGGACATGTAAAATATAACTCCGTGCGATCAAGATAAATCTTTAAAAATGGTTTAAATTTCTGGAATATTTTTCCATGCCTTTCCGACTCCCTGCCTGATGTTTACGGCTGAACATAGTCGCCCTTTGATGACGCGTTTATTTGGCGACGATCCCAAATAACAGCGACGATATGTACGAATAAAATATCAAAAGATCAACGAGAAAGATAATAGATAATGAAGATTTGCAACTTCTGACAAGAAAGAATTGGTTTTGCGTTTTCATAATATATACATTTATCGCAAACAGCTTTAAGGACAACAAATGGATTGTTAGTGGTTAATTTTATATTATAAGGCAAGCACACAGGTTTTTCTGTAGAGTGATTGTTACACTATACCTTTGTCATCTTTTGATTTTAGTTTTCAAAGTTTGTATGAACAATATTGTATTTTAAAATAATTTAAATAAAGTTCTCAAGAAGAGTTATAATATACGTTATAATGGTTGAGTAAGTATTTTGAATCATTGAAATGAAGAGATAAAAGTGAATATTAAAGAGACAAGCCCAAACTGGTGATTAACCTGTACTTTTATTGTCACAGATGCTATCTGGCAACAAGACCATTCACATTTTTCATTCACGATTGGGGTGCACCAGCCTTGAAAGCTTCAACGATATTTGGTTTGCATGTTTACTATTCAGCTATGCAAAAAAATAACAACAGTTGGTAAACTCAAAGTCCATATTACAGAAAGCCAAAGAAATTGCAGCAACAAAAGTAAACCTGCAGACATATAATACTAAAAATCAGTGCAGTGTGTACTAAAATAAATGAATTTCAAATCATTCAGTTTACCAAAAAAAGCTTTATAGTTCAATCTCATATAAAGATTTTAGGAAAATAAGTCTAAAATGTTTAGAGCTCGTTTGCTAGAGCACGATGCTACCAATTCCAGGATCATTGGTTTAAATCGCAGGAAACATATGTAGAGTGGGGGAAAGTACCTGTTAAGTTGGTTTTGATAAAAATATTTGACCAAAAAAAACAACAACAACAACATGTTAAATGACAACATTCAGATACACAAGCTTCAAACCTTACACAGCTTTAAAAAAAAAACACTAAACCATGAAATATTAGGAGAACCAATAAAACAGAGGGGCACAAATCCAGAAGGCATGCAGTCTTTGAATTCCAAAGTGTGTTCATATTCTCCACTGTCAAAACGCTGGTGACTTTCATTCACTCCTAGGATGAGCTGGTTTCCAGTGGTTTTTGTTCGTCTCAGCCAATGCTAAAAATGAGTCCATGTCAAACCTTGTCCAAGCAGCTCTCCTGGAATTCCTCTCAGCCACAGTTTGTAAGCCACACTTTAGAGGCAAATGGGAGGTGTAAAATTTACTTATTTCTTCTCCTCAATCCACAGAGAAGTAAAAATCAAACACACACACTTAAGAAAATCCCCAGAAAATAAAAGTTTTTGTTTTTTTTCTAAAAAAAGGAAAGAAGAAATTTGGAGCAAATTTAACGGCGAGGCCCTTTAGCTGAAGAACACTAAACCATGAAATATTAGGAGAACCAATAAAACAGAGGGGCACAAATCCAGAAGGCATGCAGTCTTTGAATTCCAAAGTGTGTTCATATTCTCCACTGTCAAAACGCTGGTGACTTTCATTCACTCCTAGGATGAGCTGGTTTCCAGTGGTTTTTGTTCTTCTCAGCCAATGCTAAAAATGAGTCCATGTCAAACCTTGTCCAAGCAGCTCTCCTGGAATTCCTCTCAGCCACAGTTTGTAAGCCACACTTTAGAGGCAAATGGGAGGTGTAAAATTTACTTATTTCTTCTCCTCAATCCACAGAGAAGTAAAAATCAAACACACACACTTAAGAAAATCCCCAGAAAATAAAAGTTTTTGTTTTTTTTCTAAAAAAAGGAAAGAAGAAATTTGGAGCAAATTTAACGGCGAGGCCCTTTAGCTGAAGCGCAGGTTGACATCCCTGAGAAAGCTTTAGACACACAGAGCTCGGGGGAACCTGAAAAACAGAAACCTTTTTAAAAGACTATGGCATATATAGAGATGGCTCACATACCTATTACATATTGTACAAAGCACAATAGTTTTTTTTCCAGTTTTATTGGTCTAGGACAACTTGATTGCCCTCATGGATTCTATGAAGATGTCTTCATTAAAACAATCTCACCTGTCTTCCATGAAGCTGTCCACTTCCTCTTCATCATCCAGCTCCATGTCCAACTCATTGTCAAGGCCACTGAAACCATAACTACTGAGGACACTGAAAAGAACATGATATTTAAAAAAGAAAATGGCTAGAAAATGACTTTTATAATGTGTGTACAGTGAGTGATTACTTACCTAACTGAGCGGCAAGTGAAAAATACAATGCGTTTAAGCTTCTTGTTGTAAAAGAAGTAGTTGAAGGACCACAGGCTGCCTTCCTCACCGAAGGGGTCAGAGTCAAGGTCTGGGTTGTAGCTACAAACAACACAAAAATGGCTGTTATTAAAATACATGTACAGAACACATTTAATGAGGGAGAAATCATTTCTTTACTTGTCACACACCTATAGATGTCACAGCCCTGCAGGTTTATCTCTTGATCAATGGCATTCCACAGTTCTGGTCCTAAAGAGTTAAACTGCTCCCCCACAGCAGAACAAAGGCTGCTGTTAACGGAGTCGACCACCTGGAGGACACAAACAGTCTGTTAGGAAACAATCATACTAAATTCTAGAATTTCATATCGAGGTATATTATTACTGACAAGTTAAATGTTGAGCTCCCAGCATGCACTGCAACATGAATACTTTTTTTGCAGTTTGCTGACTGTTGTTTTGTTACTACTATTATTTGTTGTTCTACATTTGTTGATTTTCACCATTCTTGAGATTAGTGTGTCAAGTGTTCATATAGTGTCAAGTGAGGTTCATATACAACCCTTTCAATCTACATCCCAAATATCATTGTTTCTGAAAGATGATTGATTTACTGTATTACTAACTGAACATTTTCAAAAACGTTGTAGTTACCTATACAAAGTTATTGGTGGAATTGAGCATTTTACAATTAGTGAACAAAATAAAACTGACAAAAAAGGAGTGTTACTTAGGACAATTAAGACAATCATTGAGAGAACTTATAAATCTGATTGCATAATGTTGCCTTGAATTTGTAACTTTTCTCAACAATTCCTGACAGTGCATCTAAAAACCTTTGTGCCTGACATTTAATAACATAACATCACATAAAAAGTTCTTTACCCAGCAGAAACATTATCGCGATACAATGGAAACCAGTCATACTAACCCAGTTAACGCTGGGCTCTCGGCTGAACTCATGGGCACGGGCAGCACTGAAGTCATAATCAGGCCGGAACGACTCGTTCAGGGTGGTGATAAGGTAGAACAAGGTCTTCCTGCAACACTTATCACTTAGTGGATTTTCTCCATCCTCCCCACTCTTCCCCAATCTAAAAGAAAGCGCAGGAGAAATATTGTGTAGTGTGCCCACAATAGCCGAGGTGAAACCTATGGTTGTGTGTTAAGGCTTACAGGTTAGGGCTTGGAGCGCTGCTGGACTGAGGGGGTGACAGAGCTTCAAGAACATGTGGCTCCCCCTCCTGACAAAACTGCTTAAACATGTGCTTGTCATCACCAGCCATCTTACACGAGTAGCTCTCAATCCTACAGACAGGAAAAGAGAAAACGAATAAGAAAGGGATTGATTGAATTATTTCATGACTAAACAAACAATTGCACACACAAATATCAGCATAATATATTGTTTGGGATTTATATAAGATACAACAAACTTTTTATATTGCAGTAAAATTTAAGCTATTTAAAAAATGTTTTAAGCATCCCAACTCAACTGCTGGGCTTTTCCAAAACTATATTTTTATGCTTGGCTAAAATGTCACGGATGTAGAGCGAGGGGGGAGGACATGGGAATATTGTGTGCGTTTATCTTTCTGGCTTATGCAAGAGAGGTTGTGCAACTTTAGACAGTCCCAGTAACAGTCCACAGACATGATTATTTATATGTGAAGGGCAAAGGCTGTAGCAGGACGCGGAGGAGAATCATATGATTTGGGACACTGTAGCCCTGTGTTAAAGCTCCATAAATCAGTAGAAGAAACAAGCAAACAGTGGAGAACAAAGGTTGAACTGTATCATAAACCGTATGTGTCTGGTGTGTAAAGATCAGTTTGAGGAAAGACACGTCACACTGAAGTAGACAGTTTGAAAGTAGGGCTGTAACAAGATACTGATGGTGTCTGTTAGTAAATAGAGATGGTATGCAATATGCATGCACTGGTTATTTAGCCTCTTCACTAGTTTTAACTTGTACAAGTACACTGACGTGAGCACTACTAAAAGATATATACAAATGGTATTGGCATCTTTGCTCTGAGATACCACATTTGATATCTCTGTACTGTACTCTACACTAATCCAATAACATGATTAAATGCTAAAGATGCTGGCAGATCATATGAAACTCAGCTGTGTTTACCCCTAAATAACCACAGTGGTATGTGTTAGAGGACACTACAATCTGCGTCATGGGTACAATAATCGCGTCTTTACTCTGGGTATATCAGACCCCCTTATCCTTACATAACATCTTCACAAAGTGAAAGAAAACAATACAATATAGCCTAGTTTTAAACCTAACATCAAAAAGATAAAGAAAAAAGTAGAGTACAATTAGTAAAAAAAAAATAAAAATTGGGTTCAATATCACTTACGTCACCATGACATCGTTTGAAGTTGTTTGAACTACTGAACTACACAGTTGCTAAAATGACACTCTTTTGACATGATGAGATAAGATTTGCTATCATTTATAATAATTCAGCAACTTTCTTATTCTGACGGTTCAAGCACTGAGCTGAAACATGCTAATGTTTGCACTTTGCAGAGTAAAAGCTAAAATACTTATGCACATGGCGCTTGGACAATAAAAGAACCACAGGAAGAATCAAAATGTGTGTGTTGATGTGTGACAGGATGTTTACCAGAACAGACACCAGGGGTGTATTCCAGAAAGCACGGTTAACTTACTGTCATGTGTTAGAGGACACTACAATCTGCGTCACGGGTACAATAATCGCGTCTTTACTCTGGGTATATCAGACCCCCTTATCCTTACATAACATCTTCACAAAGTGAAAGAAAACAATACAATATAGCCTAGTTTTAAACCTAACATCAAAAAGATAAAGAAAAAAGTAGAGTACAATTAGTAAAAAAAAAAAAATTGGGTTCAATATCACTTACGTCACCATGACATCGTTTGAAGTTGTTTGAACTACTGAACTACACAGTTGCTAAAATGACACTCTTTTGACATGATGAGATAAGATTTGCTATCATTTATAATAATTCAGCAACTTTCTTATTCTGACGGTTCAAGCACTGAGCTGAAACATGCTAATGTTTGCACTTTGCAGAGTAAAAGCTAAAATACTTATGCACATGGCGCTTGGACAATAAAAGAACCACAGGAAGAATCAAAATGTGTGTGTTGATGTGTGACAGGATGTTTACCAGAACAGACACCAGGGGTGTATTCCAGAAAGCACGGTTAACTTACTGTCAGCTAAACCCTGAACTTTCGGTTGATTAACCCCAAACCTTGCTTACTCGAGGTATGTGGTTCCAAAAACGCGTCCGGGAGTAAGTTAATTCAACTCAGAGTATGTTCCTGGTTAAGACTCAAGACATTCTCAACAGAGCGACGAATCACTATGGAAACGGATGCTAAGAAAAACGCCCATACTGTTTCTTTCTTCTTCTTTTGTTCAATGGTCGTTTACATGCTTAGTGCATATCGCCCCCTAATTGATAGTTGTGCAATAATTTATATTTTTTTCTGTTTAATCTTTAATCCTTTAGAATATTAATTATATTGCATGCGCTGATAGCTCTAAAGTGAACTAACCCTGGAACATAACCTGCTCCGGAGCAGGTTATCTTCAGAGAGCAAGTTGCTATAGTCACTTACATACCCTGAAAGTAACCTCAGATTTTGGAACCGAAAGCTGAGGTTTTCCACTCGCTTATCCTCAAACATACCCGGGTATGTTTGAGGATAAGCGAGTGGAAAACCTCAGCTTTCGGTTCCAAAATCTGAGGTTACTTTCAGGGTATGTAAGTGACTATAGCAACTTGCTCTCTGAAGATAACCTGCTCCGGAGCAGGTTATCTTCAGAGAGCAAGTTGCTATAGTCACTTACATACCCTGAAAGTAACCTCAGATTTTGGAACCGAAAGCTGAGGTTTTCCACTCGCTTATCCTCAAACATACCCGGGTATGTCACATAACCTGCTTTTTGGAATCCCCCTGAACACAATAATTGTGTTCAGACACAAAAACAACCTAAATCCAGGGTTATTGCTCCTTTTGACCAATTAATTTCCATGAATTTTCCAGTTTTTTTGCATGTACTGGATAAGGATTTTTTATATTTTTACAGAGTCTGGACTCAGAGAGAGCCACCTGTACCCAATTACATACTTCAGAGTAGGGCTGTGCAATTAATCGCATGCGACTGTCATGCGCATCTCGTCAGTAAAGCCGGTTCCATGATTGGTAGTAAATCGCCATCACCTGCTTTCAGATGGAGCGACATTTACTACACAGTAGTTAGTTCACTGACAAGCTAGGCAATATCGCGTTCATAATCTAATGCGATTCATCTGCGATTATGAACGGGATATTGCCTAACCGGCTTTACTTACGAGATGCGCTTGACAATCGCATGCGATTAATTGCACAGCCCTACTTCAGAGCTGTATATTCATTAATCTGTGCATTGGTTCTAGACATTTAAATTATTTAAAGGGATAGTTCACCTAAAAGTGAAAATTCTGTCACCATTTATTCACCCTTATGTCATTTATTAAACTTTATGCCTTTTATTTATATTCTAAACACAAATGAAGGTATTTTAATGAAATCTGAGGAAAGTTATGTCCCCTCAATGACAGCTCATTCTACAAATTTTTTTAAAGATTCAAAAATTCATAATGAGATATTTAAAAATATTTGATATGAACAGAGTGGTTTGATTCTAGTCTTCCGAAGACAAATTATCACTTTACATGATGAACAAATTTAATCTAAGCTTTTATTCATATATAAACACTACATAAAAGTGTTGTTGAAGAGTCAAAGTTTGGAATGACATAAGGGTGAGTAAAATACAAATTGTTCATTCTTTATGAATTTGCAAAGCCTGAACACACTTAAAATTTTGTTATATTCCCAGGTGTTACAGGGTACCCACATTTTTGTAAATCACAACTCTTAGAGTTCAAAAATGTTCAAAGGAAAACGCATTTGCTATTATTTTCAAGGTTCATACCTGCCAAGGATGTGAGCATCTCCAGTTTCAACACACAGCTGGGAGCTCAATGCCTCAAAACGGGAATTTTCTAAAAGCTTCATAGCTGGAAAACAAAACACATACACACTTATCAGAAGCCAAATATCTCTTATTTCATTGTGTGTGTGTGTGTGTGTGTGTGAGAGAGAGAGAGAGAGAGAGAGAGAGTAACCGGTTACAATATAAACTATTTATTGATGCAACTAGTTGTATCGAGTTCAATTGAAACGTAATGTAATGTGTTCAGGTGCGAGTAGCGTTTCTTATTTACATGCAAAGTAAAACGACTCCCCCTTAGTGCATTACGTAAAAACTAATTTATGTACGGACTGCATAATTGTCCGTATAAACAAGAAAATTGTATTTTCATTTAAGTAAATGCATACTTATGGCATTAATTGCAAAAAAAGACCACACATAAAACGGCGTTAAATTATGATTTATTTGTTGACTTTACGTCTGAAAACTGTAAGACAATCGTAACAGCCCATCTGCCTGTCCACCTCCCCCAACAACAACCGTTTAAGCTCTTCCTACTTTATAAATCGAACTGGGCGTGTGGGGTAAAAAAAAACACTAAAGTGGGGACATTTTATTGATAAAATAATAAACAAGACAAAACAGCATTATGAGAGAGCGAAGTGGTTTAGGAATAAATACATTATATTGTTTACATCCAGCAACAGCAACTGACCTACTACTGACCAGCTAACGTTATGGTTTATGATACTGACGACATACTGTATCACAGTGTATATCAATTGTAATGCTTACCTTTACTGTTGTACTGCCACTTTCCAACTAAAAACAAATCTGGGCGAATGGAGTAACGTTAAGGTTAGTAAGTTCGGCTCACAGACAGCTCGGTTTACGGAGTTGTTCTACTAACAACACAATACAAGCTAAAATGCTCTGGCGTCCACGCGCGGTGGGGACAACAATAAAAAACGTTGTACAATATGAATTCACTAAATTTGAAAATGACTCGGTCGAGACTGACATATCCTGCAGGCGTTTTCTCTTACTGCAAAGCTTCTTATTTCGACTAAACGCAACATAAAATTCAGCGATTGTGTCGAGCTCCAAGACAGCGACTGCAGCAGCATCCCCTTGCTTAACCTATTTACCTTCTAAAAACGATGTAAGCGTCGGTTTAAATGACGCGACTTGATTAACCGATGCTTAAATTAGCACTTGCGACCTCTCGCTAACGATTATGTCTCCTATTTCTTGTATTTTGTTAGTAAAAATCGCAAAAACATCCAACAACAGTCTCTATATCCGAAAACAGAATACAAACCACGCCTCTTCTGAAATATTTCCGTTGATGATGACCACGCCCACTGTGTGTTCAGGAAAGTACTATGGACACTTCTATTGGCTACTTAGTCTGTCAATTAAATGTACTAGCTATTCTATTGGCTAAATGGTCACGTCATTTAAAGGGGTCAAATGATGCGATTTAAATTTGTCCTTTCTCTTTGGAGTGTTACAAGCTCTTGGTGCATAAAGAAGATCTGTAAAGTTGCAAAGACTAAAGTCTCAAATCCAAAGAGATATTCTTTATAAAAGTTAAACCCACGCCAACCACGCCTACCTAAAACGGCTCGTTCTAACACGCCCCCACATACCTATGTCACTATTTGGGACGATTTCCAGAATGTGCCCAAACGTTCACGCAAAGAAAGAAGGCGTAACTTTGATTCTGGCTAGGGTTGCACGATAAATCGCATGAGATATTTAATGCGCATCTTGTCAGAAAAGCCGGTTCTGTAATCAGTGGTAAATCTCCATCACCTGCGTAAATCTCCATCACCTGCGGGCTTTCACATTGAGCAGCATTTACTACACAGAGCCGTTGTTCATTGACGTGCTGCGCAAAACCACGTTCATATTCGCGCGATTTTTTGCGCAGCTCGTCAGTGAACAACGGCTCTGTGTAGTTAATGCTGCTCAATGTGAAAGCCCACAGGTGATGGAGATTTACAGAACCGGCTTTCTGACAAGATGCGCATTAAATATTGCATGCGATTTATCTTGCAGCCCTAATTCTGGCTGTAGTATTGTTGCTGCCGCCGGTGCCACTGCCACTGCCATGTTGTGGAGTCGCTGTGTGTTTTGTTGTGAAAGCGAAACTACTTTGTTTGGTCTTCCAAAAGAGGACACGACTAGAAATCAGTGGTTAAGTTGTATTTACGACACTGTTCCGGAACAGTTCAACCCAAATATTCAGATGTTTGCAACGCATTTTATGGAGGACTGTTTCTTGATCCTGGGAAGGCTGATCACAAATATGGAGTCAATATAATGCCAGTTATATATGCAAAATAATAAATTTTTGCAAACGAAAATAAAGTTTTGCAAACGAAAATAAAAGTATTGAGAAAAAATAAATGTGTTTTTTGCAAACAAAAATAAAGAATTGCAAAATATAAATGAAACAGCACAAAAGCAGTAATTTTGCAATACATATTTTCCATGGCCATATCTACTAATTTATTTGCAACGCTGCTTTTATTTTGCGCTTCAGTCAAGTTTGAGCTTGCGATACCGTTTTCCCTTTGCGCTTCACGTTTCTGCGCGTCTCGCTTTGTGGCACTGTTTTGACATGGGGGTGTACAACCATAGACATATAAATAAAAAGTATTTATATGTCTATGTGTACAACAGGCCTGGGCATGCCTCTCTGGAAGTGACGTCATCGGGCAGCTCACTGATCCAGGCACCATCGTTATTCATAGCATTAAAACATGCATGTTTTCATTTTATTAACTTTATTAACAAATGTATATGTGTATTAGCAGTGTTTGCTCAAGTTAAAGAAGTTGTTAACGTGAACATCTGCTGTTTACTTCTCTCAATGTGCACACTTTTATAGCATTAAAATGTGTATTGTTTCATTTGGTTAACTAAATGTGTTTAAAATCTCTTAACCTGTGGGAGGACGCCAGCGCACAGAAGCGTTCTTTGTTTACATGAGCTCAGAGTTACTGCTAGTTTTAATGTTGAAGAATGCAATTAACTTCATAAACTAACTTACATCATTAAAAAGGTCTACGACTCAAGCTTCATATCTTACTGCAAACAGTCACACAACGCATGTTCAAATTAAGATGTTTTAGCCAACTCATAAATGTTCAGACTTTGGATTAATTATTCATTTTTGTTTAGCAAATATTTTTACAGTATTTGCAAAATATATGGTTAACTAGAAGTTGTTCCCTCGAATTAATATATCGTGGCCACGACAAAACTAAACCAAAAAGACTCAAGCTTCATTTTTTTTAACTTACAGTTACAGTCATTTCTTAATTTATGCCAGGAGTTATGTAAATGAAAAACGAAGTTGAGATCGATATGAAGCTTGAGTCGTAGACCTTTTTAATGATGGAAGTTAGTTTATGAAGTTAATTGCATTCTTTAACATTAAAACTAGCAGTAACTCTGAGCTCATGTAAACAACGAACGCTTCTGTGCGCTGGCAATTCTGCAAAACTTATTTTTTTCTCGCAATACTTAATTTTCTTTAGCAATTCTTTATTTTTGTTTGCAAAAAACACATTTATTTTTTCTCAATACTTTTATTTTCTTTTGCAAAACTTTATTTTCTTTTGCATATATAAGTGGCATTATTTTGACTCCATACACAAAGGCTGTTTCTATAAAGTGGGGCAGTTCCAACTTTGCAAGGACAGTCTGGTGCTTCTGACTCACAGTCTGTAAGTACATTTACATATTTAAAGAATTTGCCACTGATGATTCAAATGCGAGTTTTGGGCAGTGTAGAGTAGCACTTGTTGTTTGTCATTTCTCCGATCACAAATGCAGACATGGCTTTATGTTTATGCAGCTAGATACATTTCTGTCACACGCTTGAGGTATTCAGCCAATCACAACACACTGGATAGCTGACCAATCACAGCACACCTCGCTTTTCAGAACGATGAGCTTTGTACAAATCGACACGTTTCAGAAAGGCGGGGCATAGAGGAGAAACAGTAATGAACAGTATGTGGAAAATAATGTGTTTTTTTAACCTTAAACCGCATAAACACATTGCATTACACCACATACACAAAATAATGTTCTTTTTAGCAACATCACATGACCCCTTTAAATCATGTCCAAAGAGCGATTGACCCTTTTATGAATTATTTGCAAAGTGTTTTTTTTTGTGCAGTGGAAAAAAATGTTAAATGTTAAAATTTACACATAGACAGATTATTAAGGCATTGTATGCCGAGGATTTATGCATAGTTAGAAGCAGATATGATGTTTTGAGAAGGTGTATAAAATGCTAAGTGGTAATTCGATCCACTTCTAGTGGGACGTGACAATTAGGACGTAGCCCCCAGTTCATGTGTAAAGTGCAAGTGCCTGAATAGAGAGAGGATCTATTTATTCATTCATTCATTCATTTATTTATACATGCGTGTTTTAATCAACATTTTCTCGGATTATCAAAATAAATAAAACAATCTAAGAGTAAATATGATATCATATTTTGTAAATAAATCAATAAATGTTACTGTTTTGTATACAATCTAGCCTGCAAATGGACAAACGGAACAAACCAGTGGGACATGAATGGTTTTGCTACAGTAGCGATAGTTTAAGTTTGTTATTATTATTATTATTATTATTGAATATAAAAAAGAGTAAAACCATCCAACATATTTACCATGATTCTACTACACTCTTCATGGTTTAACTGTGATATAAGGTTTAATTAAACTAAATTAAATTAGTAATAACATAAAAGCACAGTAAGACCCAGCCTAAACAGTATTTTTGTGCAATCAATTAACTGTAACGACAGTTAACATCGCCACAGTTACATTACAGTTTCATGAGATGAAATTTAAGATTGACATGGAAAATTGGGATATCCCCTAGAATGAGAAAGAGTGTATGTGAGTGTGTTTTCGGCAGGAGGCGCAGCGTCTGCTCTCAGTGTAAAATGTCTGTCTCTGCTTGAGCCGTGTTTCTTCCTGCTCTGACGCTGGGCTGCCCTCCTTCAGAAACTAAAACAAAGATGACAAGGCCGCTACTTTTGCGTAAATCGGATCAGGGAGTCGTAGCATATCTCCAAACATCGTATTAGCACACAAGCCCGGCTGGTACTGGAGTGTCAACACGACATATTCCCGCCTGAAGTAGTCAGTCGGCCGCGGCATGTCGCTGAGCTCAGGCGGGTGGACTCTCACACCTCCGCCGGCCCAGTCTGCATCGTCTCATCTCGGCCAGGAGGCCTCACAGTCGGCCTGCAGCACTGTTTTGATGTCGGTGAAGGTGTCAGTATGCCACTCAGGTATACGACCGCTTTGTCTCCCGGGGGCCGGAGACGAGTCTCTCCGTCTTCAGCTGAGCATGGACCCCGGGAAGGCAGGGGAATTCCGCCTCGCGTTACGGGACATCAGCGGAGCCGCGGCTGGGCGCAGCGTGGTGAGGAAATGTCGTACTTGCGTTCCGTTTCAGTCTGCGGTGCTATGAATACTGGGGAAGAGTTGATGGTGAAAACTGGTGAAAAGCGCAACATAGTAGTATTTTCATTCCAGAAGTGTATCTGCGCTAGGCATAACATAGCGCTGCCCTCTGGCGAACACGCATGAGTGAATCACATGTTTTGCTGATCTTTGTTTTTAAAATCCATCCTCCACCCCCTAAATGTAATAGTTTGCGTCATAAATACACTTAATGCTCTTCACGATACCTATACGTATTTGATATTAGATGAAGCAATAATATACACTGATACTTTTATTTGCTGTAATAGACTGAAAAAGAAAGAAAGTGAAACTACCTGATGTGAATCAGTTGATATGAACCTCGTTATTATTTGTGTATACATGAATGTAAAATAATAATAATAAAAATAGTTAAACCTATTTGATTTCAAGTACGTTTACTATTCGGTATCCTTCTGGTTTGCAACAAAGTAGACACGCACTTACAAACGGGGTTGTTGTCTAGGATTGTGTTATTTGGGGACATTGACTAATTAGATATCCAGGGGTTGTGCACTACTACAGTTTGTGTATCAAATTCATTGCTTTATCTATTATACCCAGGGTCTTAGAGATGCCAAACAGAAGTAATATTATTTTATTTTGCATTTGAGTCCTGCTGTCTCTTTGAAACCTCATTACACTCATGATCCTGAAAATGTTGTTTTGAAAAGTTAGCTCTTGTGTAGGCTACCAATGGTGAATATAACCGGATAAAACAATAACGACAATTTAATGAAAATGTGACAGGCTGACGGCTCATAATAACAGTGAAAAAAATGCCTCATTTTAAGTTAGTAGATGATAATAGGTTTTAAATA